GTACTAGTCTGCTGTTTGTCGACTTGAATTAGTGCTCTAACTGAACTTCTCAACGTGTATGCACACCATAAATTAAGGCTTAATGTTTACGCTGCTGCACTCATCAAAATGCCAAAAAAAACTAAACATGTGGACAATTTTTTCCGTCATTGTACTTCAATCACAGTACGACATTGAACAGGCTCCTCACCTGTGGCCGCACCATCTTCACAAAGTGCTGATTTCACTCGACTTTGTGTAGCTGCCCCATGATCCTGGAATGTACAGACTCGAATTTCGGGGGAATTACATTCTCATAGTCGCCTACGTCGACGACTTACTGTACACCGGCTCGTGAAACAGTCTTCTGGCGCGCATGGAGAAGAGAATCCAAACGATTCTTGAAGCGACTATTTCTCCAAACGTCACCCAAATTCTTTGGTTAAACGTCGACTGCGGCCCCGATGTCATTTAACTTTCTACAAGCAAGTACGCAGATGCACTTGCAAAAAAGTTCGCCATCGCTCCTATCGGCCTCACCACTCCATTTCGTCACATTTCGACCGATCACACACCTGATACCACAATCTCTTGGCATAATTACCCCCCCTCGAAAAAGGGACCCTGGGTCTTTTTTCCGCACCATGGGTCTTAATATCGTAAAGGGATTGTGAGGACCCGTTGTTTGGGGTAAATCATTTGAGGACCCCCGATTTCCCTCAAGAGTGTATTTGTACTCGTTTTTAGTTCCTGATTTTGGTCACGCGTTCGCAGCGCCCCCGTTTGCCTGTACACCTAGCTTTCAGAAAAGCCTTCGCGTCGCGTCAGCAGAAGGGGTTCCTGCAGTAGGCTTACAAAAAATTGACCACTGTAGGAATTTGGCTCGTGAGCCTACGACAAGCTGAGGACGAGAATCCGTAGGCGCTTAAGTGTACATACAAAAAACAATCTCATAAGTAGAAAATAAATGTCTATGGGTCTTAATAATTGCCTCCCTTTAGTATGTCCACCCAAACGATTTTCATTGAATTTTCCAAAAGACCTAGGGTGATCATGCCGGGAGATTACGGTACTACCCCACTTACGGTACTACCCCAAAGCGAGAGGTGAATTTTGGGTCTCTGTCGCTGATGATCGCCACAGGGATACCATGCAGGCGAACGACGGCCGAGATGAACAGACGTGCGGTTTCTTCGGCTGTGATCGTCGTGCGACATGACGCGAAGTGAGCCACTTTCGTGAGGCGGTCGACGACGACAAGGAACGCGTCGTTTCCACTTGGTCCGGTGGACGCTGGGGCATCAAGGACGCTGGGGCGGCTCGAGGGGCTGCAACAGTCATGCTGACCGCTGGCGTGATGATTTCATCGTCAGGCAGGTTGGGCATGCGCCCACGTACTTCTGCACGTTTGAAATCATGTCGGGCCAGTAATAAAATCGTTGCAGTGCCTTCAGAGTCTTGTCAACCCCGAAATGTCCCGATAAGTTCGAATCGTGGACTACTTGAATTAGTAATTTGCGAAGTAGACGACAACTCGTAACCCAAATTCGTTCCGTTCCCGCTTTTACGTAATAGGCTCCCCGTGCGGTCGTGACCTGCTGGTAGCCGTTGTTTACGAAAAGGGATCAGTCGAATATCCGTGGGTAAATAGTTCGCTCAGCAACGGGTTTGTCTGGGCGATTAGTACATCGGTGGTTTGGGCAGATGGTCTGGAGAGGGCGTTAGCAATGTTGTTGGCACCCTTCTTGTACGTGATTCGATACGTGAAGTTTGACTCCAAATAATCCAACAAGCGAATTTGCCGCGGGTTGAGATTCGGCTGCGTGCGTAGATACTGTATGGATTTGTGATCTGTTCATACAGCTACGTCGGCTCCCGTCATGTAGCATCGCCAGATCTTGAACCCATGCACGATCGCCAATATTTCTTTATCATATATGGGATAATTTTGCTCGGCCGACTGTAACTTTCGCGAATCGTACGTGATCGGCTGAAGGCCATCGCCTGTAGCAGAACTGCTCCGATTGCGATGTCACTTGCGTCTGTCACGACCTCGAATGGTCGTTATGGGTCAGCAATCCAAAGTACCGGTGGCGAGATCAAAATATTTTTTAATCCGTCAAACGCAGCTTGTTGCTTCTCCCCCCACTGATAATTAGCGCCCTTATGAAGTATGTCAGTTAGTGCCCCAGTCAACCCCGCCATGTTGAGGATAAACCAACGCACATAATTGACGAACCCCAAAAACGATTGCAGCTCCTGGAGGTTGGTCGGCGGCTTCCATTCCTGAATTGCCCGAATTTTGCGGGGGTCAATTTTTACGCCTTCCGTCGAAATAACGTGCCCCAGAAACTCGAGTTTGGTTTTTTAAAACTCGCACTTAGAGCCTTTGGTGATGAGTTCGATCCCATGGTCCTAAGGGCGTTCTGGTGGTAGGCCAGGTGGCAGGTCGTCTGGAAAAATATCTGGGAACTAACGAATCAGTTTTGCCAGATCTTCGGGGACTGCTGCGCAGAGCTTATCGATGTCGGCTGGTTGATCGTCATCCGTCGATTCCTTCAGATGGACGGCGTATGATTCCGCGCCTTTCTTGACCGCGCGTATGAGCGTGATGGCGTTGACGCGTGTCATTATCGGCTCTGGTCCTCGCCATTTGGGCAGTATCTGCCGACCATTCGCACACTTGACTGTGCACTCGTATGTCGTCCAATCGATCTACGGGTTGTGACGCCTAAGCCAATCTTGTCCCAGTAGCACATCGTAGCCGTCGAGTGTCGTCGCCGGCATTGGCGCGCTGAGACCGAAATTGTCACCACACTTCATGCGAACAGTTCGTACGCGATCACGTATCTCCAGCGAGGTGCCGTCGACCAATCGGGCATCAATCTCGGGTAGGCACCGCTCCTGGGGTAAGTTTTTTTCTTCTTCTTCTTCTTTTCTTTTCTTCGTCGTCGGTCGGTGAATCAGGCTGTGGCTCACGCCACCATCGATAAAGATTTTTTTTTTTTTTTTTTCGTTAACCCTTCCTTCTACCATCACAGGGTGATTCTCAGGTTCATCCCCGTTATTTGTCCGAGAGCGGTCGATAGCGTGTACCGGTACCACTGTCCGGTGGGGATGATGTTTCTCGAGCGATGCTGCCGTGTCAGTAGGGGGCCCGTTTGCTATTGACGAGAGTCGTTTCCCCGCTTGTCCCCATCGTTGTTTTTCTTCTGCTTCCGGTCAGGGCAGTCAGCATATCGGTGATCCGGCTGGTGGCAGTGAAAACACTGTCGCTTCCTGCGATCTTCGTCGTTCGCCACGATATCGTTGATCGAGGGCCGTTGATCCTGGCCACGAAAACGATTTCCCTCCTAGGAACCCGATCTCGCATATTTATTATTGGCGTCGTACAGGTCGGCGATCACCACTGCTTCCTGGAACGTCGTCAGGCATCGCATCTGCACTTCGTAACGAACGACGGATTTGAGCCTAGTAATGAACCGTTGCTTTTTTTCGGCTTCTGATAGGTCGGCGATTTGGTCGCACAATGCCTGAAATGATGACGCGTAATCCTGGACAGAGGTCAGCTGGCGCCAGGTGTCCAGCTTCGTGCGTGCGTTATCCGAAATGGATATGGGCTCGAACCGTTCACGCAGAGATGTACCCCACGCTTTCCACGTGCGAATCGCGGTCGATCCGAAAATTGACGTTGCATCCCGGGCAGCAGATTCCGAACTCCCGAAAAGCCCCTGAGTGTTCCCCCCATCTCGCTTAGCGTCGATCGCCACCAATCCAGTGCAAGTCCCCTAAGTAGTGAAACAGCCAGTTTGTTTTTTAAATCATCAACAGGAATTCCGACGGCAACAAAATAAAGCTTCATCGCGAAAAGCCAGCCCTCGATGGTGGTGTTTTTGTCCATACTGTTAAATGGGGGTGGCATCGGCGGCTTTATCTTGGCCACTGGAACAGTTGGTGTGGCTGCGGCTGCTGCAGAAACTGTTGCTACTGCTTCGGAGTGGGCGGCGGCCGTTGTCGTAGCTGCTGTAGCTGCCGTGGGACGTGCAGCGACATTCGTTGCTGCTGCTGCTTCATCATCACGGCGCTCCTGCGACACTTCGCGTGCGATTTCATCCAAGACCGTTTCGACACGTCTCGTGCTGGCGGCGTCCTCGGGGGCGGGCGACTTCTCGCATGTGGTCTTTTGCGCCTTGCGACGTTCGGTAACTTCGGCGCGAAGTTTTTCGTTGTCGTCTAGCACAGCTGTCAGGCGAGCCTCTGTGGTAGCAAATTTTGCCAACAACTCATCGGGCTGTGCCTGGTCCATGTGGCGAACACTACGCCGGGTGGGCAGGGGAATATCCGTGATTACGCGTGCTGAGGTAAGAGCGCAAACGCTATCGTAGTCGGGCGAATAAATTCGTCTAATTCGCGGCCGAGCGCTTTGCAGCTCAGTGGGCGAATCACCAGATGTTATGTGTGTGTTTAATAAGAGTAGCGCGGAATCGAATGTCGGGGTTCAGAATAACATAATGTGGTACAATGGAATGACGAGGCAAGATATAGGAACACCAGAGCAATCATAGCCGCGTGATTGAACAGATTCGTAGAAGACATCCGAGGACGCAGAGCGCTTCGGAGTGACGCGGAAATGGTTCGGTGCCGTGTTCGGGCCGAAGCTAGGGCAGATATCGGTGCCGTGTGGGGTTGATGTACGCGGTAGCGGTGTGGCGGGCTAAGGAATGGAAAATTCCTTACAATAACAAAGAATCACTCGTACTGCTTTCATTACCCCGCACAAACAACCGCATCCACAAACCTCCAAAGATTTTGCAGCATCTTTGCGGTGCCTGTCACAAGCATCTGTCTACCTACTTGTCTTGGCCACATCTAGTGGGTGTGGCGCTACTGCTGCCACAGTCCCTGCCTCCATCGCCGCACCGAAATTTGCCCCCACCACCTGCAACAGCGGCAGTTGCCGAGCCTCCTTGGCTGCAGTGGTAACAGAAAGTAAGTACCGGTACCATTGCCACCACCAGGACGAACACCATCAGAATAATACAGAAATCGTATGCCATGTTCACTAATTTTCACAATGAACAGCCTAAATATTTTGTTCTACAAGAGTACACAAAAATGCTTTGTACAGATGCAGCGTCTACTTAGAATGCATGCGAATTCCTCCTGCCTCACCCCACAGCAAGCACACCATCATGGCAATGCTGTTCCAACGAATCTGGTCATTCTGCCCAACCACCAACCAGCATTGTCGTGATGCTCTGCTGCCCTGCAAACCACCCAGCCACGCAGGAAGTCCCAACCACTCTACCATACTGCTCAGGTACTCACACACCCAGGTGAACTATTCTATACTGCACACGGGCCCTCGCCTAGGCGCGCCACGCAAAGCAGTCGATGGGCTTGAGGGAATCCTTATCCCCCTTCTGCAGGCTCTTGGGCAGGATGACGTCATCCACCCCATGCACCTGCACCACTCGCAGCGAGATGACGTCAGGCGCCACAATGGAAGCTCTCTGGGGGCCGAACATGGCCTCGACCTCCACCGGCTGGGCCCCCCGAGCTGACACCTTCACCAGACGAGCCTTGCACCCGCCTGCTGCCGCCTTGAGCTGCAGAGATGAAAAACGAGCGCGTGATGGAAACGTGATTAGGCCAGGTAGATTCGGTGACATGGTCCTGCGGCATGATGTGCCAAGCTCCTACAGGCACTCCTGTCCCACAACTTTCCACTCCTGCCGGAGCTCACCTGCTTGCCCTGTGGGAGCGCCGCCAGCGCAGCAGCAGTCATTTTCTTCTGCACCACGTGCAGCAGCACCACCTCGCGCAGCAACTTGCTGTCATCGTCAACGGCGGTCCTCGTGTCGTTCGACAGCTCCTCGAACGCCGCGTCGGTGGGCGCGAAGATCGTGGCAGCGTGGCAGTTGAAGAGCGTACGCAGATCCTTGTCGAGTCCTGAAGGGGGTATGGCGCAATAAGGCAGAGATTTGTTTCCACTGCTGACAAGGCACAGTGAGCGCACACGGGGCCACTGGAAATCGCGAAGAGCGTCGCAGCGTAGCAGTTGAAGAGCGCACGCAGAACCTTGTCGAGTCCTAACGGGGGTGCGGGGCAGTACTACGAAGAGTTGAAGACCGCTCGCATATGCTTGTCGAGACTTCAGGCTGAAGGGGGCACGGGGCAGTAATAGGGAGATCTGTTGACTCATAAGGCACGGTGAGCTGACATGGGCCAATCGCGAAGAGCGTCGCATCATAGCAGTTCAAAAAGCGGGCAGATCCTTTTCGAGACCTGAAGGGGGTGTGGGGTCATCCCAAAATTCCAGGATCAGAAATACGGAGTAGGTATACAGTAGGTATGGCATAGGTACGTCTGCTACGGAGTAGCCTTGCTATACGAACAACTATACCTACAATATAGGAGAGGTCCACATTTTTGTGATGGTGAAGGGGGACGCGAACGGTGAGCGGGCGTCAGGACAGCTACGAATCCTCGCTGAGAATCCTTTCGTACCTGTTTTCGTGACCGCGACGAGCAAGTTGCTGTAGTTCCCTCCGTAGGTGACTTTTGAGTCGACTCAAAAGTTCCCCCCGGACATGAGCCGCACAGACCGCTACTAGTCCCACAGTCGATTCAAGGTGAGCAAGGTGAATTTCTCACCGTCGCGCTTCTCACCTGTCGTCTTGAGCGCGGCGAGCAAGGTGGAGTAGTTCCCAGCCTTGGTGAGCTCCGTCACGAGGTTGCTCATCACCTGCTTCCCGCTAAACCGACAGTATGGGAGCGGCACGCCAGCTTCTGAGGGGGAGAGAGAGAAGGCCACGACCGCCATCAGCAGTAGCGCAGCGACGCTGGACATGCGAGAAGCCATGGAGGTTGGAGGAAACGCGAGGGTTTGTCGGAAAAGCGACCGGGAAAATGACTGCGACTCGATTAGAGGAGCGTCAAGCTGGAAACTGGGATGTGCGGCTGCGACGGTAATGCTAGAGCTGCTGGAGCGGAAATGAGGGGCAATGAGTTGTGCTTGCGAATTGACGAGGAGGCAACAATCAGGAGGCGAATTTATGCAACGCTGGAAGGAGATGGGACGGGGGAACCTGAGAGATTTGGAGATTGAGAAATGCGGCTCGGCGAGTGAAGAATGCGGCTCGTTCGAACCCATTTCGCGCCACATCGCCTTCCCCAGGCCACCCCACACCAGCCAGGCTTGTTCAGTGCGCCGTCAAGTATAAAATATGACCGTCAACGCAAAGAGCCCATTGGAGCACATAGATGTGCTCCACCAAACAGTTTGGTCGGTGGTTCCGTGGTTTGTGACGGTGATCCGAACCAAGCCGGTCTGGTTTGGAAAAGCCCGCAGGCAGGCGGGAAGACCCACAGCACCTCCTGGAGGTGGATTGGGGGCCTTGTGCTCCACCCAAGGCATTTGCGTGTGGTGCAGCAGGTGGGGGGTCCAGAAAAAACCTCCGAAAACTTGCATAATGACAAGGTACAGTAACGAACTGATGCTCTACCCCAAACACCAATGCACTACACTTCAATGCGCCACACGTTCAATGAATCATGTACGACTTGCAATCGAAGATGAGCAAAAATGGGGACACGTCAATGAATTACCATTCCCTCTAATTAAGCAAATGCTTCATCACCTCATAAAAGGTCACTACTATGCCACAAGAAGGGCCAGCCCTCAGTATCCGTGGGCCTGCTCCAGCAAACAATGCTCGCATCCCTCCCTCCCTGCATTGACGAGGCGAACACAAGAGGCACAGGCATAACGATGAGAATGTTGGAGAGAAAATCCACTGGGCGAGACAAAAGACCTATCACAAACAACCGCGTTGTACACTCGATCATACCCCCCACAACACCTCATCCAAACCTACTCACCTCCACAGATTTTGCAGTGTCTGTGCGGTGTTCAGCTGAGCGCCCGTCACTTGGATCTGCCTCCTGGTCTTGGCCACATCCAGCGGGTGTGTCGCTGCTGCTGCCACACTCCCTGCCACCATCGCCGCACCGAAATTCGCCCCCACCACCTGCAGCAGCGGCAGCTGACGAGCCTCATCTGCTGCACCGGTAAGAGCAGGTACATAAGCACCAGCACTCGCACCAGCACCATAGCCACCCTCAATCCGCAGCTGTTTCTCTTCCCACCGGTCAGCATAGCGGCTGAGCAGGTATCGCCGGGTGGGTTCCAGCAGGCCCCAGCAGATGGCTGAGAACGGCACATCGCGGGCCAATTGCGCGTCGACACCTGTCCACAGAGCTCGCAGCCCCTGCGCGCCCGAGTGTGAGTGCGGCTGCAGAATCGTCCGCAGGGTGGCGAGCGTGCCTGGCCTCGACCCTCCCACTCCCCCTCCCACTCCTCCTCTCGCTCCCACCCCCAACCCTACCGACCCAAGCGGCCCTACGGTTCTCTGTGCCTGCATGCGTGTTCTCGCCAGCTCCAGCGGCGCGCAGCTCACACACGCCAGCGCACGCGCCACCGACCCCGCAATCAGCGGCGCGTACGCCTCCAGGACGAGACGATCTCGGCCGTTGATCGTGACGGTCGCAAGCTCGAGCTTGAGCGTGTCATAGACTGGCAGGTAGATCCCAACTGTCGGGACGGCCATGAGGAGAGACGCGCCCGTGCCGCGCCAGAGGCGCAGGGCGCCCTCTTCGCGCACTATGCGGGTGAACACGTCCCATGTGTTGCGGTACGGGTGGTGCTGGGGATGGGGGTGGTGGTGATGATGCTCCAATAAATGGGCCACATTCCCTTTCCCATGCCCATGTGCATGCCCATGTGTATGCCCATGTGTATACCCATGGTTGCTACTCCCAACCGCTCCCCCTTGCCCATACACCCCCATGGCATCACAGCAGACGGACATGGCTGCCCGCCGCACATCCCCATGCCCATGCATCTGCCCCCCTCGCGCCAGCAGCGCAGCGGCGGCAGGGGGAACGGAAGCGCCTGTAGCCGCTACAGCCGGGAAGGCAGCAGAGGGGAAGAGGGCGCGGTGGTGGGAGCAGAAGGCGGCAGCAGATGGGGCAGAGGCGGCTGTAGCGGCTACAGCCGGGTGAAAGGCTGGGTGGCGCGAGCAGAAGGCGGCAGGGCGGCAGCAGGCCGTGGCTGAAGCAGAAGCTGTAGTAGCAGAGGCTGAAGCAGATGTGACTGTAGAGGCGAGCGCGCGGGATGTGATTGAAACGGTAGGAGAGGATGAGAGGGGAGGAGGAGGTGGGGCGTGCGAGGAAGCAGTTGCTGTTTGCGCCTGCAGCCGCGTCTGATGGGGAGGTAAGGGGGAATGGTGCCAGGCGGGAAGGCAGACGGGCGAGGGGAGTGCGGGGAGGGTGAGGAGGGGGGTTTGAGGGGGGGTTGAGGGGGGGAAGAGGGAGGGGAAACGAAGGGGAAAACATGGGAATTGGCGATGACAACAGAGAAGAATACCATTCGTTACAAGGCTGTGAAAACAACGTCCAGAAAACAAGCATTACCAGGAACGACCGCCTTACCTTGACAACGTCCAGTGGGTTAAAAACGGTCGGCACGAAGCGTCCAATCGTCACCAGAAAGTGACAGCTGCGCAACAGCAGCCCCCCTACCCTCCTTATCCGTACCTTGACGACGTCCAGCGGGTTTGCGATCACGGCCGATACCGGAAAAATCCGGAGCTTCACTCTCGTTATTGAATGTCCCAATACCTGTAACAGCATCCGTACCTTGACGGCGTCCAGCGGATTCATGATAACGGCCGATACCAAAACACCCTCGTTACTACATGCCCCGATACAAGTAATGGCCTCCCTACCTTAACAACGTCCAGCGGGTTCATGATAACGGCCGACAAGACGGCTGCTGCGCCCGCCGCCAGCGCCTTCTCCCGCAACCCTAGATCGCCCTCGGGCTTCCTTGCACTCCCTGCGCTCCTCGCACTTCTCCCATCGCTGCTGCTGCTTGCCCCCGTGCCAACTCCGCCACTGGAAACCGGTAGTAGTGCGCCTGCCGCGGCCGGCAAGTGTACCGCCGAGGCGTTAGGGTTTGACCTAATGGCGTCAGCACCCAGGGCACCGGCACCGGTAGCAGCAGTGCCAGAATTTATGCAGGCGGATCCGGGCACTGGCAGCGGCAATCCCCGTGCAGCAGTGACGTCGTCGCTCCGTGCGACGTCGCACGCACAGCCTGCGACGTCGCCAGCCCTGCCTTCGCGTTCCGCCCCCTGCGAGGCCACAGGCGAGTTTGATTGAAAAATCGCGGCAGATGATTGGTTGCTAGCTGCAGCTGACGTGGAGGCGGTGGGAGAGAAGGAAGCTGCGGGAGTGGCGGCGGAACTGGCGGCGACGGTGGCGGTCGGGGTCATGGTGGTAGACTGCTGGCAGCCTGGAAATGTTGAAACCGGGAAACCTTGTTACCAAGAAAGCGAAGGAGAGCGTAATTCGAAACTGGGAATCGTTAATTTGGTTCCGTAGAAGAGAGAGAGCGTTCAAAGACGCGATCAGATGCTAGAATCTGCCAGTGCTGGCGCCGCTTAGAGTACCCGCTCTCTGTCGCTGGGTGACTAATCAGGGGATCTGTAGCAATTCTACAGGCCCAAGAAATGCAACACGCAGCAGGCGAGAGGCGAGTGACGGCTGATCCGCAGCGTGCGGTGTGGAAGGCACGGCACGTTACCCACCTAGTCCCTCTAACCACCCAATCAGCTTCTTTCCAGAATGGTTCTAGGGACTAGATGGGCAGAGAGCGTGCCATATGGCGGGAGTTGGCATGGCAGGGTAGAGTGCAAGACTTCCGCTCCGCCTCTTAGAACCTCCCTCCAACTTGGTGACCCAGCTACTGCTCGGGCGAATTTTATGGAGCTCGCGAAGCACAACGAACAGCGAATCTGCTCGCACGACGGAAAATGGCCCGGCGCTGCGAAGTTCTAAATAAATGAATTACGTTCGCGAGTAGCTGGGCTCGGCTCGCCAACCGCGTGGGGCAGTGGTCCCACGGGCGAGGAGGGCACGTGGCAGGCATGACGTGGCGAGAGGAGAGTTGAGCCGTGCACTCATCTGACGCAAGCGTCACGTTTCTTCCAGAACACGCTGCTGGAATTGCGGAAGGTGGGCCAAAACGGCGCACTTGCCGAATAACATTGGCGCGTACAGTTAACACAATAGACGGGAAACATACATAAACACATGAGGAAATAAGGTTCAAACATATAATGTAAGAATCGAAAATCAGTGTGCCGCTACTGTATCGAACTGGAAACGCTTCAATAACAGCTCCCCCATCCCAAGATGTTTGGAAGATACCACCATGCGCGCGGCAGCCGCCATAGATCTTCCCTCCCCTTGTCGCCATTGCTTCGTCTGACCTGAGATTCTTCCCTCCCTTCCTGTTCCACCTTTACGTGCTGCTGGTGTCTGGATACTGTACAGTACATTATTCTCGCCGACCTGTTCCGCCATTGCTTTGGCCGCTGCATCTCCGTTTCCGTATCTCCATAACTCGATCTCTCACCATAAGCGTAAAAAACAAATATTTTTATCCTCGTAAACCGTTTTGCGCCGCACGAATGGAGACGTCTAGGTGCACTGTACCATTCGAGTCGCTTCACCGTCGCCTCGCATCGCCCGCGATCGCGCTCCTCTCCCTCCTCGCGCTCCTCGCGTTGATCCGCGTCTCCTCGGCCTCCGACGTCCGCCCGTACCGCGTGCGCGCCCTGACCGACGCGTCGTTCGAGCACGACACGCAAGCGTCCTCTGGACAGACTACGGGGAGATGGTGAGTTACGTGGTAACCACATCTAGTGGCGAGTTACTTGGTAATCACCATGGCGAACGACGTCGCATTCACTGGAAGAATCTCGAATGCCCCCTGGGCGATCTTCTTTCCCCTCGTTTCAACCTCCAACTCCCCAACGCCCTCTCGCTTTCCCTCCTTCCTGCCCGTTCGTTCGGGTGTCACCCTAGGTTAGTTCTGTGCGCCACGTCAGACTGCCTCACATCTGCTGACTCTTCGACTCCCCCTTTTGCGGCTCTCCCCCGCCCTTTCCCCTTCCGGCGCCCCTCACCCACCCTCCCCCCCTCCTGCCGCGTGTCACCCCAGGTTCGTTCTGTTCGCCACGTCAGACTGCCTCACGTCTGCTGACTCGGAGTCGCCGTGCCACCGCATCCTCGCGTCGCTAAAGGAGGCTGCCTCCGCCGCAGACGGCATGCCTGGCCGGCTGTTCATCGCCGCGCAGGTGCGCTTTTAGACACCTCAAGAGTTCTGAAGCCTGAGGCGCGTCAAACCTCGAACCTTCTAAGGTTTGAGGCGCCACTCAACACTCAACCGGCATGCCTGGCCGGCTGTTCATCGCCGCAGGTGGGGAAACTTTGAATGAGAAGAGAGTGCGAGAGAGACAGAGAGGGCGTGGGTGGGAGGGAGGTTAGGGGGGGGTTGTGGAGAGAGCGGGTTGTGAAGAGAGGGGTTTGTCAAGAACCTTGACACAAGATACACGCGTGCCACGTTTTCCTTCCAAGCGCATCCCTTTCCCTTCTCACCCTTTCCCTACTCACCCTTTCCTCCATTGTTCTCCCTTTTCCTCCCTCTCCCTGTCTAACCGACCAGGTGGATTTGGACGCCAACCCGAAGCTGAAGAAGAGGTTCGGCATCGGCTCCGAGCCTGTCCTCAAGCTCTTCCGCGACCGAGCCATGTTCTCCTTCCCCCAGGCCGTTCTCCCCGGCTCGACCAGCAGCGCCCAGGAGCAGAGCAGCAGGCCGGGGGCGGGTGGGGGGGCAGAAAGCACAGGGGCAGAAGAAGATGCAGATGAGGAGTTTGAAGGGGGGAGGGATACAGCAGCAGGAGGAGCAGGAGCAGGAGGAAAAGGAGATCTGGCAGCGGTGTTGCGGCGGTTTGTGCAGGGAGCTTACAGGGATGCGGGGGAGGAGAAGGTGCCCGGGGAGCCGTCAGCCTTGGATGGCATTGCAGACAAACTGGCTGGGGCGTTTGAGCAGTACCACGCGTTCATGCGGGTGAGATGCTTGTGAGGGAGGGTGGGAGGGTACTTGTGATGCTTGCGAGGGAGGGTGGGAGGCTACTTGTGATGCTTGCGAGGGAGGGTGGGAGGCTACTTGTGATGCTTGCGAGGGGGGGGTCGGGGCTGCTGGATGGCGCAGGAGCAGTGCCACGCAATCATGCGGATGAGATGCATGTGAGGGGCTGCATTGCGTGGAGAGAGGATGAGGCGCATCGTGAGGTGAGATTCAACCAACCTTGCTCTTCCTCTCCTGCTGTCCACTGCTCCTGCTCTCCACTATCTCGCATCTCATCCATACCAACTTGTGAGGCTGGCTTTTATTGGCGGTCTGATGGCTTTCATTTCATCCGTGTCTTGTGGCCCATTGTTTTCTTGTGCCGTGTTTCCCCCCCACACCCCCCACCTCCCTTCCCTCCTCCCTTGCACCACTCCTGCTCTCAAGTATCTCTCATACTGCCCCGTGTGGCTGGCTTCCCTCTGTGGTCTCGTAGCTGTCACCTTCTACGCCTTATGCTGTGCTTTCCAACCCTTCCCTCCCCCCCGCCCCTTTTCTGCACCCCAGTATCTATCCTACCACCCCGTGTGGCTGGCCTCGCTTGGTGGTCTGGTGGCTGTCACCTTTTATGCGTTAACTCGCTGGATGCTTGGGATGGGGGTCGCTCCCCCCCGCCGCCCGCGCCGTGTTGTTCCCAGGGCTAGGAAGGCTGACTAGAATGGTAGAGGTGGTGAGGAGGCTGTTTCTTTGCAGCTATCTCTTCTCCAAGTGGGCATCTCTCAGAGGCAGGAGGGCGGACCAGAGAATTAGAGGATTGTCTTAGGTTGACGTCTTGCTTTGATTTTCTGCTTCATTTTCCCTCCCCACCCTTCGCAACAAGTTCTTACCAGGGGTAGGTAGGCATGCGACTAGAATGGTAGAGACAAGGCTACATTACTGGAGACTTTGTACCTTCCAGTTCAAACTGCTGTTGCATTTACACGGCGGATGAACAAGTGGGTCACAGTTTAGACGAAAATGTGTCGTAGCAACTTTTCATGGTTGCAGCTGCAGGGAACTAGAATACTGTGCTTCACCCTTCTCTCAAAGGTGATTATGCGTAATGCTAGAACTCCAACAGCTGCTTAGGTCACGTCCTTCGTCGTCAGTAGAAATTCTGGGCAGTGCAGTAGTCTCCAGAGCATGGATAATGATTGTGTAGTCAAAAACAGCATTTCACATGCTAAGTACGCCTTGCAGCAAGCAAGGTGGTTCAACTCGAGCCACCATACGCGTCTATTTACAAACGAAGCCATCTCCCGACAGCCGATGTCAATAGATAGAATCTGTTGTCAGAACCACTTTATCATGCCGTCAATAATTGACCTCAGGTCCCTTTTGGGGGAGCTGGAACTTGGAATCCACCTCAACAGGCGGCTTCAGAATGAGAAACTCCTCCTCGTCATCCGAAGGGAGGCACGGAGCTGCAGCCTCCACGAAATCCGCCTTGCTAGCAAGATGATCAGCCCACCTGCGGAGATGACAAAAGATTCGGTCAGGAACCCCAGCTTCCACAGCCACCGGGAGAAATGCGTGAAACGGTAGATTAATACCCACTAGCAGCCGCTTCGCGCTTACCAGTCGTTTATTCTTTCCCGGAAGGGACTCAACGAGGGGGAGGAGGCAATAGAAGACGTGGGGCCAGCATTGAAAGCGCCGGAGGCCGCGCTTTCAACTGCTTTCGTTGCCATCGAATGCAATTGCTCAATCCTGGTACAACACAACGCCATAAACTGCATGAGACGACGTACGTTCGAAGCAGACTGACGAAGGGAAAATCAGGTACTTTCGAAATACCTTGCAGTGTACTGAGTGAGCGTGGGTGGTGCTCCAGGTGTCCGTCCAACAGGAGGATTTCTGCACAAGCCACCAGTATCTTCGTCATTGACAGCTCTTCTGAAAACTGTAGACAACCGCGAAGAGCTATTAGGTACGATGCTTACGCGTAAGCTGCTCTCGCAGGAGTTCGCCTCGTTTGCAGAGAGGTGAAACTCAGAGTGCTCGACGGGCAAAGAGCGATACGGCTAGCCAAAAGTCCTGCCATACTGAATACTCTTGACTTCTCGAAGCCGAAAGTAAAGCTGGATTGCTGGCGAAGAATCTCACAGGAGTCAGCGACTGAGGAGAAGGTCACCCCAGAAGCCCGAGGGACGGCTGAAGTTCTCAGACAATCGGTGTTGGTAAAATGGAATGGCAGTGCTGCTGACTTATGGAAAGAGAACCGACTACAATGGTGTGGAGCCGAGAATTCCCAGCCAGCTCCTGAAGGATTCCACAGACGAAGTTCAGCTGCTTGCCGAATGCCACAGAGAGAGCAAAGCTGAACGAACCTTGAGTTCAGCACCAGGTGAAGCGGGACCTAGGTTTTGCCGCGCCCGTCGGGCAGCCCAAGCCTGAAACCTTTCGCAGCAGGCGCGTCACCATCAAGGCGGTTCGGCAGAGGCGCGTCACCTTTGGGAGTTGATGCGCAGCCAGAAAATGGCAGCAAACCACAGAAACCAGGCCCGAGAGGAACCCTTGGTGTTTCAAAGGTTGCCGTTTCATTGAACCAGGGTAAGCGTGCCAGCCAACTTGGCAGAATCTGTCATCCAGCGCGTCGACGCTTAGGGAACTGAACCTTCTGTGTGCTCCTGCTTGTTTAAACAAGGCTTCTGAGTACACCAACCCTAAAAACTTGCTGCGTTGGCAAATAAACCAAGGCTAAGCATACATACTTGGCAGCAAGTGAACATTTTCTGGGCTAATGCTTCCATTCTTTACCTGAGATAGAATCGATAGGGTGCTTTCAGAGAAGTGTATGAGGGATCTCGACCTAGAAATTGGGATGGATCAATTCGGTCTATAGTAATCCAGGATCATAGACGTGGCATCTGGGCGAACGATAGGTGGACCTTGCCAGTTCAGCACGCAATCACGTGTCACAGATCCCTCATTCGGCAGTCTCCGCTGTGCTGTCCAATGTGCTTCCAACAATATATTAACGGATAAATACCAGGAAACATGTCGATTACAACCTATATTCAGCAAGCATGATGTAAAATCATCACACGTGCAAAGCCTGTAAAAAATCTACCAAAAGTGCATGTGTGAGAGAAGGCTGTAAGGTCACGGAAAATGTGGTACTATTGCTATAGAACGTGTATGGGCCCAGCATTGCCGACCTTCGTGAGAGTTGTTTTCTGCACCTCTAGAGCATGTATGGAGGACGTTGTTACCAGCGCAGTACATACGAATAGCCAGGCTAGTGCATACACGCCAAAAGGAACGATATGTACAGGAGTATATAGTATATACATGAACGTACAGCAAAATGTACAGCAATGTGTGTTACCTAATATGCATAGCTATTCGCATCTGGCCATCCCAATACCGCCTCTCCTGCTCAAGCCTCCTCTTCTGTTCCTCGTCACGCTTCGCCCTCCACTGTTCAGGTTGTCGTGCCATAATCAATCTCTGCAGCTCTTTGAGTGATCTGGGCTGCCCAAACACGCCCTGCTGGCGGCACAAAGGGCATGTGATGTGGGGCGAAGCGGTGTCAAGGCCGAAGAAGACTGGGATGTGGGCCACAGAGCAAGCACAACCGAGGCAGAAGATGTGAGCGCAGGCAAGAGACACCGGATCAAATGGCACTTCCTGATGGTTGAATGGGGTGAAGGGAGGACGGGAAGGTGAGCTTGGGTTGGGATCAACACATAGGCTGAAGAAGACATGGAAGTTGGCCATGGGGCAAGCACAACCTAGGCAAAAGGTGTGAGCAAAGTCGAGATACACAAAGTAACATGGCACCTGCTGATGTGGTGATTGGGGAGGAGGAGGAGGACGGCAGAGAGGAAAGGGAAGAGGTGGGGAGTGAGTTGTATTAAATGAACGAAACGTGGATCTGAGTCACGGATTATGCACACCTGGTGCAAGGAGTCAAATGAAAGCTGGTGAGTATGGGGAATGAGCACGAGTGGAGGAAACAAAAGTATTGGTTAAATACAATACAGACAGTGCAGATAACGTGCGTCCATGCCGGAGTGGTTAACGGGACAGACTCGAAATCTGTTGGGCTCTGCCCGCGCAGGTTCGAATCCTGCTGAACGCGCATTTTTCTGCGTCTTTCTCCCTGCACAGCTTGCACAACCAAGGCATAAGGTACAAGACAGACCCGAATAGGGCTCTAACGGAGATAGAGCTAGGGTGGTGCCGCAAGGTATTGAGCTTACAATGTATACGGGCAAGTTATATCAACTTAGCACTTGACCTCAGCATTCAACAAAAGCTCAGAGCCAAGCAGCGGACATACTGTGGCGCCACACCCTGATTCAATGACAGAGAGCAAAGCAAGATGAAGAGCTTACCAGGCACACGGGGCATGTAACGTCCACTTTTGCCTTGAACTCTGCCTTCAGCAGCAGCTCAGAGCCACGCAGCGGACACACTGTGGTGCCATGCCCTGCCTCCTCCGCGTTTCCCTCCCTTCCACTGCTCCCCTCTTCACTTTCCACTCTCGAACCAACCCCCTTCACGCCACTCCCCTCCTCTCCCCTCCCCTCTCCACTCCCCTCTCCCCTCCTCTCTGCGCCACATGCCTTCAAACATTCCAATCCCCTTCGTCCATTCTTCCCCCCATCCCTCGCACCTCCTCTCCCTCCCCCCCCCAGGGCCAGCTCAAGATTGGCCACCATCGCAGTGACCTCAATGAGCAGCGGCGACCGTATGATTCGCCCCTGAAGGCCCCTCATTCGCACCACGTGCTCCCAAGCCTCAGGTGTGATAATTTCGCTGGACTTAGCATGCGTATGATACAAATCTCCAGATTTTCCAGTCGCGGGGATGATATTCAATCCGCGGTGCACTTTGATGTATTTCTTGAGGATTTTGTGCGTGGCGAGGAAGCTTATAGCGAGGTGCTCTAGCAGGCTGGTTGCTGCGTGGTGCAGCGACGCCGGCTTGTGCGAATGCCACAGCGGACCGCCAGCGCGTCCCGAGAAGAGCTGACGTGGCGAGAGGACGTGGCACATGAGCTGGAACCCGGTCGCGTTGTGACAGCTCAGCAGCCGCGTGGCAGCAGAGCCAAAGCTCTTTTCGATACTGACCAACTCCGCTTCCAGTAACCCAAAGAACTCTGAGTCACAAAGCGCACAGCCTTGGGAGGCTCCCACAGAAGCTTCCGAAACTGCTGGCGGCGCATTATTTGCTGCTGCTTGTGCGCACTCCTCCGCGCGCTCCTCTGCTCCGTGCTCGAGCTGTTCCGCCTCTTCCCCGCCGCCCTTCGCCTCTCTTTCCGCCTGCGCGCGGAGCTCGGCGCGCAGTGCGCGGGAGGAGATGCAGCGGCGGAGAATCTTCTTGAGCGCGCGGTAATCCACTTGCGGGAAGCGCGCGGGCAGGTCTGGGAGGAGCGAAAGGAAAGGCGGCAGAGAAGGCGACGAGAAGGCTAGGTTCACAAACGTAATTCACTTTCGGAATAGCATGGACGAAACTTAACGCGCAGACGGAATGTCATGAATTCTCTTCCGAAATCGCCGTCGCCGTCGGAACAATGGCGGAACCATGGCGGAAGAACGCGTACCTGAAGACTCCTGAAGTCGCGTCTGGTAACTCTCGAATTCCTTTCCGAATTTCATGGGCGCATCTTCTCTTTCACCCAAGGTTCAGTCGGATGCGGCTTCTAGTCGACTGCAAACAGGGAGGTCCGCGTCTTCTACGCGTCTTCTAATTCATGGGCGCGTATTCGAACCAACTCAGCGAGGAAAACATCAGGGCATGAAAGCACCAAAATTCTGGAAATAGGTGAAAGATGCGGAGGAGCGACGAGGGCACAACCAAGAAGAGCGCATAGCCATCGTCACGGAATGAAGAATTTGTTGACCAAACGAAACTCGAGCAGACACCAAAATCCACACCCGAATTCCCCTCAGATTTGACTTTCAGCAGGGTGGAATGGAGCGCAGTTTGTTACAAAACGATTCAGTATGGCTTATTACGGTGACAGTGCGGTTATCGTTTCTGTGAGGAGAAAGCAAGCACCTCTCCCCTCTTCAGCCTGTCCCTTTCTCGCTTACTTTGTCGCCCAAGGGCTGGTTTCCCCAAACCAGTCTTCGTCACGCTGTCGTCAATCTTCGTAGAACCAGTAACAGCCCGTGGCTGGCGATGGTACAGTTTGGGATGGTTGCCTGGTGTCATGAAGGAATTGATGACAGCCGAATGCGGCACCTGCCAGTCTTCCGTGACGCGGTTCACCTGCCAGTCTTCCGTGACGCGTTCCGTGGCAACGCAAGCGGTCACCACTGGTTGGGAAGTTATGGATGCCGCGAAGCGATTGGAGGGTGGCGGTTGCTCTGCCGCCGCGTCGTGTTGGAGGGCTGCTCGTCGGAGTGGCTGGTGAGGTTCGAAGGATATTCAAAAGCCATTCTGGGGATAAAAGGCTGCTGCAGCGTTGTGAGGAAAAGCATCAGGCTGACGTGGTATGGCATAGTCCCATTGGCTGTGGATGAGAAAATGAATATTCACAGCTTGGGGCATGGAAATTCCGTGGGCATTGTCGACGTGGTTGCGGAATGTGATGCGCTCACGTTGCCGTGGTTCTGCCCGCAACTCGTTCCATTCCATACCCCAATTAGCCAATGAGAATCGCTGTCATACGTAAATTTCGCCGCACATCCCGGTGGTCTCCCAACCAGTGAGCTCCAGCAAGACAGGTCTGGTGACAGAACCTAAACCCGAGCCAGGGACAACAGGTTTGAATCAAGACCCTTCTTTGGTTTGGCTTACATGTGGATTACGTGTCGCCGACGTCACCTGCCAGGTGAGCACAAAACTGAGCCTATTATCCGCAACTTGGGCCCTTCCTCGTCAAGAGCGCCATGAGATTGGACGGAAATGCGAGAACCTGTGCCTGACTGGTCGGGAACCCAATCACTTCACCACCCCTCGCTTGGCTGGACATGCTTGCCCAAAACCGTGTGGGCCGTTGGTTGGAGCTGTGAGTGATGTGACGAGGCGAGTTGACGAAAAAATGATGATAATGATGGCTTTGGCTGTTTGAATCTGCTCAGGCATGTTCACAGTCACTAGGAAAGCTTGGTCTGGAAGAAACAGAAGCTGGTTCGGCAGTTGCCTAAACGCAGATAGGCATTCGCCTCACCAGGCCTGTGATTCACGTGTTGTCGTCGGACAGAACATCGCGCCCCGCAGTTCACTCCAGTTCAGACCAGACCAAGCGAAACGGAAATACAGGGTACAGTATGTGGTAGATCAGGAAAAGTGGACCATCTGGTGTTGCTGGATTCCATGATAAGGTACAGTACGGTGAGTGCTTTTTCGAAACGGGTTTGAAGCAATATACTTCGGTGCCTCTGCGTCGCCACGGAGCTTTTTGTGCTTCTTTTAGAGCCCAGTTCGTTGTGCAGCAGCTAGCCCACATACCAGAGAACAGGTCCAATGATGTAGACCAAATGAAAATGCATAGCTGGTAGGTGTTGGGAGTTTCTGGACAGAGAACCAGCTGTTTGAGAGAGCCGATATTCTTTGGACCTGTCTCAACTTGTTAAATCAGCGATAGCTTTAGGCTAAGGAGCCATAAATTGGTCTACCCTGTATCCGAACGATATTATATTCCGCTGAGGGCATAGAGGAGCGGTCGTCAAGGGTCATCCACGATTGTCAGGATGAAATTCGGCAAGACGTATCAGAGTTACCAGACTCGACTGCACGAATCCGCAGGTGAGCGAGTCCCCATGCTTTGCCGGGCCTTTTAGTCGTCTGTATATTCTCTAATTCAAGCCGCGAAGTTGCTGCAAGAGGCATGTTTGTCTCACCTTGCATTTGAGCTAAAATTTATTATTTTACCCTCCCCTATTTGGCTATTTCCGTCTTCCTTTGGAGAAGATATCCCGTCGCGCTTCGCGCAGGTGGACTACCGAGCGTTGAAGAAGATTCTCAAGCGATGCCTCTCCTCGCGCGCTCACGGCACCACGCTGCTTCTAGTCGGCCAGTCAAATGAAGCCACGCGAGCTTGCGATTTCAACCAGCTGGAAAACTCTTTGTTCGACGCCGTGAATCCCGCAAGCCCCGTCAACTCCGTCAACTCCGTCAACTCCGTCATCCCCGTCCACTCCGTCATCTTTGACGCCGTTAAGCCTGCGGCCGGCTGTCCTCATTGCGACGGCGAGTTCTTCAAGCTGCTGGAGGAGGAGCTGCGAAGCATCGAGCGAAGCTTCACCCGCGAGGCGGCTCGCGTCATCAGCTGCCACAACGCGCACGGGCTGTCGGCAATTCTATCCCGGTTCTCCGACTACAGCAAGTAAGCACATGGTTCTGTAGCCAACTAATAGTGCCGTTTGAGTGGAGTCACAAGGCGGCCTGCTTCGTCAGCTGCCATAATGCGCAAGGACTGTCCGCGATACTGTCCCGCCTCTCCGCCTCTCCCTCTCTTTTTCTCATCCTCTCTCTATTCCTCTCTCCCTCTTCCCCTCCCCCCCCCTCCAACCTCTCTCTCGCTCTCTACATGTCTCCCATTCAGGCCTGAGGGCATGTACTGTGCACGTCGAGGCGGCTGTTAAGCTGACTCAAGCGTCCTCCCTTTCCCTGTCTATCTTTCTGCCTCTCTGTTTCCCTCCCTTCTCCGCAGGCCCGAGGTCATGTACTGTGCGGCGTCGAGCCTGCTGGAGCACCTCGCGCTCAGCTACCTCGCTACAAGGAAAATCGTTAAGAAGTACATCAAGGTGCACAGCGCCCCTATCAGCACCGGCCTTGACGAAGAGGCCGGAGCAGAGGGCCACCAATCCGTCGAAAATGAGGGAATTGGCGGGAGCGGCGGAAACGCGGAGAGACTAGAAGGTATTCGGATGCTGCAGCAGCGCATCCTGCGGTCGCCGCTGATGCTGGAGCTGACCGCGCTGCTGTCCAACCTCAGCTACGCCCTGGAGCAGAAGCAGCTCAAGCTGCAGGCGAAGCAGCAGCAGCAGCAGCAGCAGCATAATCACTCACCGAGCCACGCGGAACACCAGCGGCCGCAGCAGAATGAAGGGGAGCAGCAGCACCCTGCGGGCCCTCCTTGCCCGCATGCTCAGACGCAGCACAAGCTCTCCCGCGGGGAGAGGCGCGAGCAGCAGCAGCGGCAGCAGCTGTTCGGCTGCAGTGCGGCCGGCGCAGTGAGCGAGCACCACCACCACCACCTGCACCGCCACTGCCACGACCCACGCTGCCCCGGGTTCGATCTGCGGCGCAGCCAGGAGCACCGCGACGGCAAGTGGCGCTACCAGCACCTGCGCTGGCTGCACATCCTCGCGCCCATGCAGAGCACCTGGACGGGCGGTGGCGCCTCCTCAGGTGTTTTTTCAGGTAGGCTGCCGTGGAGCCCGGTACGGGGGGCTGGTGAGGAGCGGCATGGGCAGGGGTTTCCTAACGGTGGCTCAGGAGGTTCGCCAGGTGGTTTCCCAGGTAGGGGGAGTTTCCTTGGAGCAAGTGAGGTGAGGGAGCAGGCGTGGAGTGATGACGAGGAATCCGAGGAGGAGGGGGAGGAGGAGGACGTGTCTGTGACGAGATGTGATTCTAGCATGGACCTGTTTGAGTATGCGGAGGGTTCTACGGGGCGAGATCAGAGAGTAGGAGGAACCCTAGGGTTCGGACCACAGAGCATGACAGAATGTGGTGATGCTGGTGCTGGCGATGGTGGGGAAAGCGGGGGTGGAGAATCCAGCATCGACCTCAGCAGTGGCGACGGGCAATCGGACGCGAGTGAGATTCTGTTAGAGAGGGGGGCAGAGGGGGGGTGCAACAATGGCGATGAGAGGTGGAGGGGTGGCGGTGGTGTGGCGCCAGCCAGTGAGGGGCTAGCGGAGCAGCCAGTGAGGCGGCGCATTCTGGCTGCTGTGGATGGCGGTGCCGGGAATTCTGACATGCCGCCGGCATGCGATGGTGCTGAAGTGTTTTCTGCAGATGGTCCAGTGCTCGTCAACTCAGATGGACTGCCAGAGCGCTTGGCAGGACAGGAGCAGGAGCAACAGCAGCAGCAGCAGCAGCAGCAGGCGGGGTCGGAGCCGGTGTTGGAGCTGCAGCTGAGGCCGGAGTTCCACGCCCACGTGGAGTTCAAGTGCCCCGTCTGCCTCGTGAGTACCACCTCTCCCTTGCCTCGTTCCCTCGTTCTTCCTCTCTCTCTTCTGCAGCTACAACCCATCCCCTGTCTCTCGTCCTGTCATTCCCCTTCATGCACTAGACTACCCCCTTGCGCTTTTCCCATGATTTGTAGAATAGATTTTATGGAGGCATGATTCTGGCCAGCCATCACATCCCTATTGTTTCTCATGTTTCACCACTGGTTGGTGGTGTTGTTGGCACAATCTGAATCACTGCAGAACCTGAATAGCTCTTGATTCCCATCCCCGGCCCTTTCTCCCCTCATCCCAGGACGTTTTTTTTGACCCCATTGCTCTCGCTTGCGGCCACATCTACTGCCGCTCGTGCGCCTCCTCAGTGGCGAAAGTGCCAGCTTTTGAAGACATTCGCATGGCATCGCCACACATCCCATGCCCGGTGTGTCGCCAGGCGAATGTTTTCGGGCAGATGGTGTCTCTAAAAGAACTGCATCGGCTCATAATGGCTCGGCAGCCGGAACAATGGAGGGAGCGGAGGGACGAGGAGCTTAAGCAACGGCGGGAACAAGAGAGGAAGTACATGGACGAACAGATGAGGATCGCTCTCAAATTGTATTGAGATGGAGAGGTGAAGTCATGTGCTGTCGGCGTAGATCAGGGTGTTGCAATGCAGCAGAGATGAATGTATGGTTAGGGGATTGTAATGTGCAGTAGCTAATTATTTTCAGCTTTCTGGCTTAGTTGTTTTAGCGCATAAGCATTTGAAATTTGTCTTTATGAGAAGTGTATTGGGAATGCGGATTCGAGTCAAATACGGGCTTGAATTCGAATGGTTGATTTGAACATCAGGATTCGGGGGCCAACCAAACACCCTTCCCCAATCAGTGCAGCTTGCTCAAGGCGCTTGGACCTTCTCATTCAAACCAAACGCGGCTCGGGCAACCCAGCCAGCCAGCCCCGAGAAAACAAGAGTTCGGATTTTGAATTCAGAGTTCAGTTTGTCTCCTTTTGAACTTCGGATTGCTCGCTTCCCCCATCGCCCAACGCCCATTCGTCCAACTCGCAACTCGGGAAGTTGAATTTGAATTTCCCAACCCGCCCGCTGCACGCGACACGGGCTCGCATGTCTGGCTGCCCCCATCCCCCTTCCCACCCCCCCGCACAAGAACCAGTCGACCAGGGAGCAGAGCCATGAACCATGGGGCCGCCGGAACAGAACAGAGCAGAGCAATGTAGCGCAAGCCCTGAGCGCGAGCCTGAAAGATAAAGCACTCTCGACTCTCATTCTCGCTTTCGATGATCCCTCCCCATGCGCCCATCGAGCATAGTCCGCAGCACCTGCCGCCACGCCGCAATGTGCCTCCCCGTGCGAGCTGCCTCCCAAGGGGGCTCCCCCGAGAGCACTTTTCTCTCCGCCGCTCGCCACCTCGGTTTTGGTCCCCAGCAATCCGCAGTATAAAGCCTGTCAGTCGATCAGGCTTAGACATAAACCGCCGATAGCGGGAGCTTCGAGGCTGCATTGTCTCATCGTAGCACCAACCTCTCCGAGACAAACCTTCCGTTCTAGGCGTTCTGCATCGTCTCAAGCCGTTCCTCAAACCCGCCTTGATCTTCCCTTAACCTCAGCGACTCGTCCTATGCGTTCTCCTCGTGAAGCGTGGCGGCGTCTCTTGCTCGCGCTCCTTTTCGTCGACTTGCCTCGTCGATTCATCAGCCTCATAACCGATCCGCTCGTCTCTTACCTCCGACTTGCCTCTCTCTTCGAGCTTCACCTCTCCTCTCTTCGAGGACCCATTCGCGTCCTCGCGTCTTCGAGAGTCCTTTTTGAGTCCTTTTGAAATCGAACTTCACCCTACCCATTCGAAGCCATGGCTGATTCCACTATCGGCGAGAAGCGCACTCGTGCGTCGTCGTCGTCACTCAATTCCGACACGCAAGCCACCAAAATCCAAGTTACAGACAGAGACTCGCAATCTTCGGTAGAGAACGCGCGGCCGGTCCACGGACAATCCGTCGAGGATCAAAACCGTCTCGACGATCGGCATCGGTCGCTGCCGTCGTGGCTACGCGCCTCCGGACCGACGTCCAAACGAGTTCGCGTCGCCGCGCCTCGCAGCGCGATCCGACGGCTGCCGGAGGCCGTCCTGTCGCTCATCTTCCTGAAGATTCCGCCAGCTGACGTGGCGGCGTCGTGCGCGTTGACCTGCCGGCAGTGGCGGCGAGTGGCGAGCGACCCGTTCCTCTGGCAGGTGCGTGCATTCTCTGTCGCACTTGTCGCAATCGTTACACTTGTCGCAATCATCGCACGTGTCGCAATCGTCGCACTTGCTTCGCCGTTGAGCTAAGTCAGCCACATTGGCGCTGGTCGCCGACAACGCAAGCATACGATGCGTATCAAGTTCAGCAGCCGGCTGGCGCAGCCTGCAAGAGCGGTTCTTCTGACTCGAACCAGACCTTGCTTTCTTCCAATCCCCGCCCTAGTGTGTTTTGAGTGCTTTCTTCCGGTCGACGCAATATACACCCGAACTCAGACACATGGCTTTCTTGGACTTGAGCCCTTCCCCGTCCCTCGAGTGCTCTGCCAAGACAACGGGCGCACACCAGTGGTTTGGGTCGACTCAAACCACACCCCAGATTTCAGGTATTCTGGGTGACTTTTGAGTCGACTCAAAAGTCACCTCGTTTGGGTCGACTCAAACCACACCCCGTTTTTCAGGTATTCTGCGACGGCAACGGGCTCTCAGAGGATGGCGCGCACGTGGTTTCAGGCGGCTGGCGCGGGCTGTACGAGCGGGTCGTCTGACTCGGGCTCAAACCTCGCTGTCTGCCCGGATCCCATCCTTTTACCTACTTCCAGGTGCTCTGTGAAGGCGACGGGCTCACAGAGGAGGATGCATATGTTTTTTCCAGGGTGGCTGGTGCGGCCTGTACGAGCGGATCGTCTGAGTCGCACTCAAAACTCGGACACCGTTCCCCGCCGTTCTCCACCGTTCTCCGTCCCTCAGGTGTTCTGTGAAGGCAACGGGTTGACAGAGGAGGACGCGCACCTGGTTCTGGGCGGCTGGCGCGGGCTGTACGAGCGGAACGTCTGATGCAGACTCAACAGCCCATTCCCCACCGTTCCCCACCGTTCTGCGTCTCTCAGGTGTTCTGCCAAGGCAACGGGCTCACAGAAGAAGACGCGCACCTGGTTCTGGGCGGCTGGCGCGGGCTGTACGAGCGGATCTTCGCACCGAATCTCGTGGGCGGCCCGCACTTCGAGCGGATCGACCACATAGATACGGAGCGAATCAAATGCGCGCGTGACGACGACCCGTGCCCGCCCTTCGAGCCCGTGCATCGAATCTGCAAGGAGCGCCTGTTCACCTCGGGGGAGACGGAGGAGGAACCCGGGGCTAGGTCGTTTTGGGCCCTGGAGGGGGGAGGTCTGGTTTTCCATAGGGGGGGCTCGCATAGGCTGGTGAGGCGCGTGGTGTTTGGGGAGAGGGATACTTTGCCGTGGTTACCCGGAGTGAGGGGTGTAGAGGTGGAGAAGCACAGGGTGAATTACCCTGGAGGAGGGTTGATAAGGAGTGGTGGTGGTGATTGTAGCGATGGAAGAAGCAGCAGTACTGTGCTGTGTTCCTTTGGCAAGAGTTTCAGCACTTTGCAACAATCTATTGGAGTGAAGAATTTTGGCTGCCCGTTTTTGGGCAGCTGCCCGCCGATTGAGGTCTCTGCATGGTGCAGCGCGGTGGGGGAGGGTGAGGGGAGCGGTAATAAGAGCACGAGACACGTGGCAGATAGTAGCAACACAGAGTCAGCAGGAAGGGCGGCAACACCAGCAGAGGCAGGGAGGGGAGGAGGAGGAGGAAGAGGGGGAGGAGGAAGAAGAGGAAGAGGAAGAGGAGGAGGAAGAGGAAGAGGAAGAGGAGGAGGAGGAGGAGGAGGAGGAGGAGGAGGAGGAGGAGGAGGAGGAGGAGGAGGAGGAGGAGGAGGAGGAGGAGGAGGAGGAGGAGGAGGAGGAGGAGGAGGAGGAGGAGGAGGAGGAGGAGGAGGAGGAGGAGGAGGAGGAGGAGGAGGAGGAGGAGGAGGAGGAGGAGGAGGAGGAGGAGGAGGAGGAGGAGGAGGAGGAGGAGGAGGAGGAGGAGGAGGAGGAGGGAGGAGGAGGAGGAGGAGGAGGAGGAGGAGGAGGAGGAAACAGAAGCAGCAGCACCACCAGCAGCAGCAGCCAATTTAGAATGCAGCTGGTTCTGAAGGATGGTTCCAAGCAAGTTCTCTCCACCTGGTATGTGCACCCCCACTCCCACTCCTCCCACTCCTCTACTTCCCCCCATCTCCCACCCTCGTTTTCCCCATCTGTTGCTGGTTCCCAATCACTAAGCATTGTCTCTCTGTTGTTTTACTAAGTACCCTCTGCACTGTCTCTCTCTCTGTGCTTCACAAGTTGTATTTCTTCCCATGACTGTCTGTCTTGCCACTTTTCATCTGACGTCTTTTGCTCTATCAGGGGTTCTGGAGTGGTGAATCCACCCCACGGCATATAAAGCCAAGTCAAGGCCCCCCTGGCAGCACACGAACAACCGTGTTACTTTCTTGCGTTATATGACTCGTTTTGCTCCGTCAGGGATCCTGGAGTGGTGAATCCACCCCAAGGCAAACATGTCCAAGTCAAGGGCCCCCTGTCAGCACATTAACCAACAAGTTTCTTTCTTGTGTTTCTTTCTTGGCTCTATCAGGGACTCAGGAGTGGTGAAACCACCTCACGGCAAATGGATCCAAGTCAAAGGCACCATCTCAGCCTATCCTAAGGTACACCTCAAACGCTTTATTCACTGCTTCCCTGTCAAAGCTGGATATATATATGTATAGGCTTAATCAAAAGCTGAGCCAATAAGACAACCCCTCACCCATATTTCCTGCCTCCTCAATTCACCGCAATTCCTTCCACGGCCTGCAGCACATCTCCGTGCGCTTGGCTGCTCCCCTTACCAAGTTCTTTCCTGCTTTCTTCTCTTTCCCCTGCACCTCCATTCCTTGCTCTCAGGGCCTGCAGCACATCTCCGTGCGCTTGGCTGCAGCCGACGTCCAGCTGACAGCCATCAGCGCCCGCTTCATTGCGAGAAACTGCTGCTAACCGCCATGCACCTGCCCTGCTTCCCTGGGGATAACAACAGCACAGCGTGCGGGCACTGTAGCTCTGTGGGTTGACTGCTGCCAGTGCTCTGCTGACAGCAATCAGCGCCCGCTTCGTTGCGAGAAACTGCTGCTGACCGCCACTCACCTACCCTGCTGCTTCCCTGGGGATAACCACAGCACGCAATCAGCTCTGCGGGTTGGCTGCTGCCAGTGCTTTGCTGACAGCCATCAGCGGCAGCTTCGTTGCGAGAAGCTGCTGCTGACCGCCATGACCCCCCTGGCTTCGATGGAGCGCACTGCAGCACCTCGCACCTCTCTGTGCTGTCAGGCTGGCTGCAGCCACGGCTCAGCTCACAGGAATGAGCGCCTGCGAGAAACTGCCACTGACTGCCATGAGCCCCCCTGCTTCCTTGGGGGGCACTGCAGCACCTCTCACCCCCCTGTGCTGTCTGGCTGGCTGCCGCCAAGACTCAGCTCACAGCCATCAGCGCCCGCGAGAAACTGCTGCTGACCGCCCACCACTAACCTCTCCTGCTTCCGCTTCCAATCAAGTAGCCTTGATTCTAACGAGTGCCACAGTTGCCTGGCCGCACATGTAGCTGACCACCATGACGCGTCTTCATAAAAGGCTCTCGATCCACATTATGCACATGCATGTGTTAGATTGAACCAAATCCTCAAGGATTGTATAATGCGTAACGCTCTGGCACGCCCTGGCATCTCACTTCCAGCTCTTGCTATCGCTAGTGGCTATCGCTGTACGATACTCCGTACTCTTATTCCTGTACATGTATCCTAAACAACGCCTATTGAGTTCAAGTCAGGTCCATAGATTGCTAGGGGCATTGCGGGACCACCGCACCAACGCAGGAGCACTGCGCCAATGCTACCATACCGCACATGACATCATCTATGTTGGGCTTAGAAAAGCCCTAGAATCTTTTCAGAAGACCAAGTCCTTGTAACAGAGTGCTTGATAGCACAGCGGAAGTCTGAGTAAACCCTTGTACTGGTATGTGAGAACAAGTGATTGATTATAGCAAAGGGAAACAAGGTATATATAATAAGAGTATGAAGAGTCTAACTGTTTATGCACTTCGAGGGGTACATTCCCTTTGCAACTCGATAAGAGCGACTCGAGTAACCACCCGTATTGTAATACCCGGACGGTTATTTGTCGTTGCTGTCGCGCTGACTTCGACTCTTGTACTTGTGACTGTTGAGTTGCACGGCCAACGTTCTGCGATCGTTGCCCTTTCGTAACCTCCGTGAGGTGTCGTCAACCTGCGTCAACCGTTGAAGGTACTGTAGCAGGCTTTGACTCGGTAATCCTCAATGTTGTATCCTTCGCGTATTTGATCAGCGTGCTATTATCGCGTGGAAGCTTCCGAAGCGTACAGGGGATTTTTTAGTTTCAGCTAGAAAATGTTAGGTGTAGCTACACTTATTCTATTTTTTCTAGCCTAGGTTTCGAACTCCGAGAATTCCCTCGAGCCGCATTTTGGCCTTGGGATACTCGTGAGCTTCTGCCTATTTAGTCTTGCTCGTTTACTCTTTGTGTATGGTCTGATGAAGGCAGCCACCTGCCGAAACTAGTTACCATCAATTTTTGCCCTACGTTTTCAAGAGATTTTTCAGAGCAAGATTTTTTCTCTACGAGGACATTACTCCTTCCAAGGTCATCCAAGCAGTCGCAAATAATTTTGCGTCAGATCCAGAGCCTTTGCCTCTCACCACTATGGCCGAGCCACGAGTTGGTGCTCCTTCGACTAATGCTCCCATTTCTGGAGCTAACATTGCTTCAACATCTGCACCCAAGATCATTGACATCGAGATGACAGATGGTTTCGATTTTCTTGGAGCAATGGATGATTCTTTTTTGGACAAACAGCCAACACTTGTGACTCTTAACCATTTTAAGGTACAGGCCGGTGCTGATTTTAAGAAGGCTTTCCTGAAATACCGGACGCTTCTTCAGCAGCTCCAGTATATGGAAGAGCAGCAGAAGAACGGGGTCCTTCCTCACAGCATTCGCATTAAGCCTTTTGGTTTTGTCTCTCCTTTCGAAGATCTCAAACAAGAAGCAGATCGAGAGCTTGACGAAGCCTGCACCTCTTGAAGAATGTCCAGGAAATCATGATCTACAAGAAAAGGTCAGCTGCTAATAAGGCTCGTGCTGAAGCCATTGGTGTTTACACCAGCCTTCAGAACCGGCTCGACAATTTCATCAATCTTCCAAAGAATTCCGAGATCGGCTCGAAGAACACCAAGGTTACTGACCAGTTGGACTATTTCAAGAACCGGATCATGAAGGAATTCAAGGAAACAATGTCGCTGTTCTTCCTTGACGCGGCACTTGCGGAAACGCAGCTGAAGCAGAAGAAGAACGACATCGAGGCGAAGAAAGCTGCGGCTCAGGCGGAAGCAGAGAATCTTCCTGTCGACCCTTCGATGCGCGTGATCGCCAAACAGGAGACCGATAAATTTTTGTCTAATCGATCGACTGGTAGACAGCAGCAGCAGCAGCGGCAGCGTCCGAGTAACGCTAACAGCGGCCTCCCTGCGAATCGTCTTCCGGCTCGTCCTGCTCGCAATTTCTCATTGGCTGATTCCAGGACTAACCGTGTGGTCCCTGTGCAGAAAAAGAATAAGGCCACTGTAGCTAAGAATGTCAAGCGTCGCAACCCTATCAAGAGGAACGACGGCGCCGTACCTTCCAATCCTGCAAGCAGCACAGCCAGACCTTCCAACCCTGCTCGAATCATGGGAAATTCCTTCACGAGGACTGCTCGTCGCAACCCGAACGCATCCAAAAAGCAGAAAGCTCCAAAAAACGTTCGGGCAGGCGGCGACGCCCGCAGAAAAGGAAAGCTGAATTAGTCGCGGATGTTCATTCGTATGCTCTGACGCTCTTTGGCAGACTTACCGAAGCCCAGGTGCGGTGCAGAGTTACGAACAAGGGGATTCACAATCTCAGTTCCCGACAGTTCACCAACGACGAACTCAATCTACTTGGTCTTGGCCTGAAGTTCATACCTGTTCCTACCATCCGAAGTCTAGCGTTAGTCGCAGCAGAGTTGGAGGATTTTACCAGGAGTATCCGAACGATGTACCTGTTTAATGGAGTGGACTTTGCTTCAAAGAAAGTTGGCTACAAACTTCCCAGGAAAATCAATTGGACACCACCAGAAGCTTCTTTTGAAGTTGAAACGGCGATTTCGGTTTTCAAGGAAGACGTGTTAATAGGAATCAACAACCATCCGCGGGCAAACCTCACTCGGCGCCGAAAGAATTTCTTCCCAATTCTTCGACGACTTGCTAGAGATCCTGAACTAATCTTCAAACCCGCAGATAAAAATCTTGGTCTTACCGTCATGGATCGAAGTTATTACAAGGAAAAATGCTATGAGCATCTCCTCAATGACAAGGTCTATCGTGAATACGCTGCTGTTCCTGCGCGCAACATCGCTCGCGAGCTCCTGAATATTAGAGAAGAATGGCATCCTCTTCTTCCAGCGCGTATTTGGAACTCTTTCTCCGCTCCACCGCGAGGAGGATGGAAGGTTCCGGCTTTTTACATTCTTCTTAAGATTCACAAGAAGATTCCAGCAGGTCGTCCAATCGCGGCCTCACACTCTTGGTTAACTTCTAATGTTTCGAGGTGGCTTGACACCGTTCTTCGACCACTGGTCGTGGCGCAGCCGACCTACATTAAAGACTCCCATAGTCTAATTGTCAACCTCGAGTCAAAGTTTTTTTCCAAGCCTTTACTACTGGCTACTTATGACGTGGAATCCCTCTACCCTTCTATCCCTCTCGTTGACGGAATCAATACTGTGGCTTATTTTCTACATAAAGCCAGGCACCCCCTGACGCCGCTGGTCATCCGTCTTCAAAAATGGGTGATGTTCAACAGCTACGTCAAGTTCGATAATCGCTTTTTCCGTCAGATTCATGGGACGGCAATGGGGACTTCAGTCGCAGTGTGTTTCGCGGTTCTTTTTATGAGCTTCCTCGACATTCCTCTACACGCTTTGATCCCTGTTCAGCCGTCGTTACATTTTCGCTTCATTGATGATGGTCTTCTGTTGTGGGAAGGTTCCAGAGAAAGCTTCGACAGGCTCAAGGCACGCTTCGAAGAACTCCATCCATCCATTCATATGACCTGGAATATCTCTGAGTCATCGATCGATTTCTTGGATGCGACGTTCTACAAAGGGGATCGTTTTGCTGACGGCAACATCCTCGACTGTCGCCTTTTTTAGAAGCCGATGAGTCGCTATCTTTACCTTCCTTACATATCGTATCATACCAGAAGCAGTAAGACTGGTTTTATCCGCAACGAACTTCAACGTTTTCTGCTTCGCTCCTCATCGCGAACAGAGTTCCTGGACTCTCGCGCACTTTTCTTCGCCCGATTACGTGCTCGCGGTTACCCAAAAAAATTCCTACTTCTAGTCTTCAAGTCCGTTTCTTTTTTGGACAGAACTACCCTCCTTCGTCACACTTCTTCTCTTCGAGAGACTTCGACTTGTGGCCCCCTTATGCTGAAATGCCTGCTCAACCCATTGGTTGACCGTTCGCACTTGGGGTATTTTTTTAGTCGACTCAAAAATCACCTACTGATATTGTCACACGAGACATTCGAAGATCGGCGTGCTATTATCTCGTGGAAGCTTCCGAAGCGTACAGGGGATTTTTTTAGTTTCAGCTAGAAAATGTTAGGTGTAGCTACACTTATTCTATTTTTTCTAGCCTAGGTTTCGAACTCCAAGAATTCCCTCGAGCCGCATTTTGGCCTTGGGATACTCGCGAGCTTCTGCCTATTTAGTCTTGCTCGTTTACTCTTTGTGTATGGTCTGATGAAGGCAGCCACCTGCCGAAACTAGTTACCATCAATTTTTGCCCTACGTTTTCAAGAGATTTTTCAGAGCAAGAATTTTTCTCTAAACAAAGTGTTCTACAAGCCCGCTGCCACGTATGGTTAAAACCACCACCAAGTGGTGTTCTGTCCTTGTAACAGAGTGCTTGATAGCACAACGGAAGCCTGAGTGAACCCTTGTACTGGTATGTGAGAACAAGTGATCGATTATACCGTATTCCCCCATATAAAACACCCAGGGGTGTTAGTAAAAACCCATGTAAATTTTTGAGGAGGTATAATTAATGGCACATTTTGTATAACGCCCGGGGGCTATGGAATGACACTTTAATGTTTATGAAGTGGAATTGAGCTGTATTGTAGACAGTTCTTTTGTGCCAAATTTTGACGATTCTTGCACATGATCGCGTATATGGTGAGGAGGACCATCGTCATGCCACAATGCAGGCTTACAGTCACAGGTTGCCTGCGTCACGTGTTGTCACGTTCTATTAGATCGTGGTGGCAAGTGGCAACCTCGACGCCACAATGTGACAGCGCACCAAAGCCGGAAGGAATTTTGCTGTAGATTCCTTCACGACCCTACCAGGGTCGACCGACATGGATTCTCCCGCGCTGCAGTGTTGACTGTGAGGAGTGTGTTCTCATGAGCCTCGTATCAGACTCGCAACATTTGCCTGAGTGACGAGAATTCCAGGCATGGTAACAGCTCTACACCGCATTGAACCAATTCGCGTCGAGCTTGCACTGCTCAGTGACGCGCGAGTCTGATAAGAGACACTCTGATAAGAGGCAAAATCTAAAGAAATACAGTGAAAATGAACCAGGGGGGTGGTGTATAGATTTCATGCCAAAAACTAGGGTGGTATGAATATCCAGTTTAATAAAGCACCCAGGTCCACCCAAACCACCCATGGGTGATTAATTCCGACGGGTGTTTTATCCGGGGGAATACGGTAGCAAAGGGAAACAAGGTATATATAATAAGAGTATGAAGAGTCTAACTGTTTATGCACTTCGAGGGGTATATTCCCTTTATGACTCGATAAGAGCGATCGAGTAACCACCCATACTGTAATATTAGGACGGTTATTTGTCGTTGCTGTCGCGCTGACTTTGAATCTTCTATTTGTGACTCTTGAGTTGCACGGCCAACGTTCGATTCTTCTGCAATCGTTGCCCTTTCGTAACTTCCATCAGGTGTCGTCAACCTGCATCAACCGTCAAAGGTACTGTAGCAGGCTTTGACTCGGTAATCCTCGATGTTGTGTCCTTCGCGTATTTGTTACAGCTACACGATACTCCTGAAATATCGTAAGTTCTTTTATAATTTCCAACACCCTCCTTCATTTCTGGAGTGTCGACGTGATCGAGGTTGCTGACGTGTTGCAGTCCAGTCAGCAGCATGCAGTACTGGAACTTCGACTTCATCAGCTTCTTGGTCAAGTAGTCAGCTGCCATTTTGCTAGTGGGGCAGTAGGCCAAATGGAGACGTCCCTGCTTGATCTTGTCATTCAGGAAGAAGTAGCGAAGCGAGATGTGCTTCGTCCTGTTCGCGAATCCATTTTTTTTGCGATCCTGATCGCTCATTGGTTGTCGCAAAAGAGGGAGAAGCTCGATGATCTTCACTTCTTCAAGCACCTCGTGTAGGTAAAGTCCTTCCTTTGTAGCTGTGCAGAGAGCGATATATTCAGCTTCAGCAAAGGAGAGGGCGATTAGTTCTTGTTTTCCCGAGTGCTAGGAGATAGTTTCGATAGGTTCCAAGCGGTAGACATAGCCGGTGCGGGAGCGCCTGTTGTCCTTGTCGCCGGCGTGATCTGCGTCGAAATAGGCGACGAGTTCCGTCTTGGTGGTAGCGTTTTTATGGTAGATGAGGCCAATCGTTGGGGTCGAGATAGCACACGATTAAGTTCCTGCAGATTCCCCCCTTTAGGTCTCTTAAGGTACGTGGCGAGCCGACTAGCGGCGTAGGATATACCAGGGTGGCAGATGACTCGCAAACAACCCAGCTTTTGTTGATATTCCTGGATGCCGGCCGAGGCGAGTAGTGAGGAGTACGACGCGAGTGCCGGCAGCGCATAGAGATATGGGGTGGTCAGGGGTAGCAGAGAGAGATCAAACCGCCGAGCGATATTCTCGGCGTACTTCGAAGCCGAGAGGGAATGGTGTCGGGGCTGTCTGTGATGTTGAGGCTGGAGCTCAAGCTCCCTTTCGAGCCAGACGGTGATGGAGGTAGTGGAGCCGACATAGGGGAGATCGTCGATGTAGACGATGAGTAGCACGTAGTCGCCGCTGCGGGAGAGCCGATACATGCCCTGTTCATGGGGCAGCTGGGCGAAGCCCATGGTGGTGAGGATGCGGTGTAGATACTACTGCCACAGCCGCGGAGCCTGCTTTATCCCGTAGAGGGATTTGATGAGCTGGCACACCAGTGTGGGGTCGTTGACGTACGCGTGGGGCTGCTCGACGAAGATATCAGCATCACTCGGAGACGTAGAGGAGTGTAGTGGCGACATCGATTTGTCGCAGGCGGAGTTTGCGGACGGCGGCGACTGCGAGCAGAATTCACAATGACGTGTGACGACTGACGGGGGCGAAGGTTTTGGTGTATTTGCAACCGTGTTGCTGGTCAAAGCCGCGCACCATCCAGCAAGCTTTGAAGTGGTCGATGGTCCCATCTACTTTTGTCTTCACACAGAAGACCCATTTCCTTGAGAGGATGGTCTTTCCTGTCGTTTGAGAAATAGGACTTCCAAGTGTTTCTCTCGTGCAGTGCCGCTAATTCCCGATCCATTGCCTCCCTCCACTTTTCCTGGTGCAATCCTTCCAGAGCTTTCTTGACGATCTTGGGCTCCTCAACTGGTGGCGTGAAGGACGACGGGTGCACGACTGCGACAACTCCAAGTATCTGCAGGCCAGTCTCGGTGTAGCGGGGGATGCTCGGGATAATCAGCTTCGTCTCCCGCTTCAAGTTCAGGCCTGAAACCACGTCCCATGCGTTTTGAAATGTTGCTGACGACTCTATGTGGTGTAACGCAACTGTTGTCGGCGAAATGGCAATACGCCTCAGCGTTCGCACTTTCGCGAGGGTTTTGTCGTCCATATGCAGGTCGATTGAGCAATGAGGTAGGGTCGCAAGGGTTTTTGTCAGCAACTGCATGTCGACTGAGCAGTACGGTTTTCCTGCAGTTGCTGATGCGTCCGGAATGTTCTGCTCGTCTAGGTCAGCTTCTTCGTCTGTCAAGGCGAACACGCATGCGCCAGCGAAGCTGCCGGACGGGTCCTGATTGGTGGCGATGTTGTTGAGGTAGTAGTTGAGGGTGAATTTTCGTAGAAGATCACATCACGTGCTGGTATTGTTTCCTCATCTTCGACGTAATAGATTTTCCATGCCTTGTAATGCTTTTCCACGCCGAGTTGTAGTCCCCATCTTGCCCTCTGCAAAAATCGTCCAGCATGTGCAGTGTGCGGTCGATAATGTACCATGCAGCCGAAAACTCGTAAAAGTTTTATGCTGCCCTGCTTCCCTATCCACAACAGATGCGGTGATGCGTTGTTTGGCAGGGAGCTAGACGACAGAAGATTCTGCATCATTATAGCGTGATTTATTGCCTCTGGCCACTACGAGACGAGCAGGCGCATGCCCCTCAACAGCTTCCGCATGGTGTTCTGGAAGGTCCTGTTCATCCTCTCTGCTACACCGTTCTGTGGGTGAGTGTAGGGGAGGGTTACGAGCCTCTTGATTCCCCGCCCAGCAAGATAGTCCTTGAAGCGATGTGACTGGTATTCCATCGCCCCTTCTATATGAAATATTTTTAGCTTGACGTATCCCTCTTGCTCTGCTGTAGCAAGCCAGGCGACGAAGGCGGAGAAGGCGAGGTCGCGTGACGCAGATTAAGGTGCCAGGTGCAGTGTGTGGCAGCGTCGACGAAGGTGATGACGAAGTTGAGGTCAGGTCGTCCGACTTCGCGTGGGATATACAGTATGTCATTGTATACCTTCTCGAGTGGGGTATACTCAGGAGCGTTGGGATTGTGACGCGACGGGAACAGTTGGCGAGGAAGATCTACCTTGAGACAGATGAAACAGGTACGTCGGGGTCGTCGTAGTTCGCGGCCATCGAGAAGTAGGAGTGTGTCCCTATCGAGTATGTTAGCTCGAATAGTGTCAAAGAGCCTAGAGTTTTTCAGATATCCCAATTGCTGATGCCACATCTCTTCGCTGGCTTTGTGTCCCACGGATCCGAGTTGGCGTAGAAGGCGAAAACGTCCGCGATGCTCCGATGCTGCTCCCGGGGGTGCGCCTTCAGCTGCTCGGCTTCTGTTGGTGGCAGTTCTTCAACTGGGGGTTTGTCGACCGGAGCTTCTTTGACTGGTGGTTCTTTGATGGGTGGCGCGGACGAAGTTCCAGCGATGGGACGTACAGTGAGGGCTTGTACCGGTGCCTGCTGTTCGGTTGTTCTTGGTAGTTCTGTTGCTCTCGTTTCTTTTGCTTCCCGCTTCACAGCTAACGCTCGTGTGCTCACTACCTCAGGTATCGTGTTGGAGTACCAGAAACCATCTCGATTGAAGCCTGGGTCGAGATTCGGCGGGTGCGTCCAGGACGTGAAGGAGATGACGCCGTCACTGTCGGCAGTCCCGCGGTCTGGGAAGAAGTCCAAGAAGAAGACGCCGTGCTTCTGAATCGCTCTCCCTATGAAGAGTCCGCCCTTCGCGATCGAAGCTCTCGCACTCCAGGTGAATTCCCTTACATGAGTTGACTGACACTCTAGGGCGTATTCCTACCGTCCAAGATCAGGATCAGCATTTCTGATCCTGGTTCCTGATTCTGCCGTTTTGCAGCTTGTCGATCAACACCGAGGTGGTTGTCGCAAAGTGCTGCCAAATGTGCAGAACTCGCAACGCAATGCTGTGAGAAGTTGCTATTGAATCGAACTTGCAATATGCTCCTTGATTGGTTGAGAAACAAATCTCGGCTCAATGCACGTCAACCTGCCGACGCGGAAATGCAGAACACGATCAACCAAGGTAGACTATTTTCGTTGCCTGCCTTTCTGCGCCGAAAGCCATGACACGACAGCTCCTACTGCAAAGTCGAAAACGAGGAGGCACACCAGCTCCTCCATCGTATAAAGCATAGCATTTTGCCCCACAGCCATAGCCTATTTCAGAACTAGGCAGACATCCATTGCGCCAATCCGTCGCGATGGATCCCCTAGAAGACCTTCCCTTCATCGCCAGGCTTCTGATTGCTTTTTTTTTGGGGGGGTACTACACCACCTGGATGGACATGGCCGTCCGGGCTTGCATCATGCACCTAGAACGGCGCGCCGCATGTGTAGAACCAGTAGAGCAAGTGTGAACACGCATCCGACGAAGGCGCCATGCTTTCCACAAGTGACGTCTCGAACTCTGGCTGGAGGGGGTCGACGATTTGTCGCCTAAGGAATTCCGGGACGTGTTCAGAATCAACCACAAAATGCTTGAGCACATCATAGAGGAAATTTTGCATGCCCTGCTCCTGCACATCACGCGTCACATGATTCCCGCCCATGTCGCAATACTCATCCCAATAATGTATTTCGCGACAGGAATGTCCTTCCTGGACATATCAATGTGGGTGGATGTGACGAAAACGCTATGCCACCTGTTCGTGGACGTCTTCCTGTTGCACTTCCCCCGCACGTTCAAGCGTCAGTGGGTGCGATTCCCGAACAGGGAAGAGATGGCACGCATGGCGGAGGATTTCAAAGCCATTAAAGGCATTCCATGTGTCATAAGCATGATAGACGGGACCCATATACAGATACGCACTATTGACGCGCACCAAATCGACTACTACATCCGTAAAAGTCAGTACGCACCATAGTTACAAATGACCTGCGACGCCAAGAGGGTGGTATGGGATTATTTGATCGGTTTCCCAGGCAGCGCACATGATAACCGTGTTTTCATAAGCAGCAAATTATACGAACGATTACATAGCAGCGAGATATTGCCATACCAGATTGTTGGGAACGCAACATACACTTTACGAAACTACTGCTTGACCCCTCTACATGCACAAGCAGGGGTACCATTCCTAGACTGGCAGCAAACATACAACTTCTGCTAGTCGGCGACGAGAATCTGCACCAAAAGGGCCATCGGCCTCTACAATGGGAGGTGGTGCCTCTTCGGTGGGAGGAACGATTGCCGACTCTGGCGCGTGCTCGCGGGAGCATCCACCGCCGTCATCCTGCACAACATGGTACTCGGGATGGCAGAGGTAAGGGGGAGGAGTTTCAACATGAATTGGAACCCCCACCTCTCCCTACTCGACCCATGGTGGATGCAAGAAGATGCGGCAGAGTTTGAGTGGGAGCCAACGCCGAACAACACCGCCGCGGAGCTGCAAGAGAGGTGCAAGCGGCTGGGGCTGGCCCTACACGGGTCGTACCTCAAGCGTCGTCACTGCGATGCCACTCCTCCACATATGCATTAGCATCGTCGGTGGCGCCATCCCAATCAGGTGCCGCGTTGTCACGGGTGTCAGGAGGCGGAGCGTGCTGGCTGGTCGATGGCGCGGAGTCACAAACGCCGCCAGAGTACGGGGCCGTGAGGCTGGTCGGCTGGCGGACTCCGCGCGCACCGGCACCTGCGTCCATCACCCCCGTTCCGCCCGGGCCCTGCATCCAGCGGTGGAAGAGCCCCTCGATGCGGAGCATGCCAGGTTCGCCCCCGCCATGGTTGCCGTCTCGTTGATGCGACGACAAGGCGCGGGGGTACCTAGGATAGAGGTGTGTGGGGGGGGGGGGGGGGGGGGGGAAGGGGGGGGGAGGATGGGTTTTTGTTAGTCCGGGTTAGGCCGGATGTGCGATGTATGTGTGTTTGGTAATAAAAACGACTTTGCATCCCCCCCAAGCGCCACTCACCATCCATACCGGCCGCCTTGCCCCTTGGCGTGTTCACTGGCGTGCCAGGCACATGTGTGCTTAGGTCGACTGTCACCTTGGTAGTGCCGCCGCCATCCACCAGGTGTGGTGCGACGTGGGCCGAGTCCTTGAGGAGGTCCGCCCACTTCAACCAGGGCGGATACACGACTGCGCCCCCGCTGCTGGCATGGTTGCCCTTCTTGATGTCACTCCATTGGCACTGGAGTCGACTCCACTCGTACTTGCAGGCTGTCCTGTTACGCTCGAACCCCGGGTTCTCGTGTGCGATGTACGTCGTGAGGCAGTCCCATTATTGGGATGAATGCTTGTTGAGGGAGGACTTCTGGTCCTCCCGCGTTTCCCAGCGACCGGCAGGCGAGGAGCGCTGACTCAAGCGGGGACCAGGGGATGCGGCCCAGACGAGTCCCCATAGGCTCAGCGGTAGGGCACTTCCCTTTGTCGGCGGCAGCAGACTTCGCCTTGGCCGCGGTGGTCGTGGCACGCAGCTTGCCCGCCGGTTTCTTCAAGGGTGGCGGGGGCTCCTCCTCGTCATCTTCCTCGTTGTTGGTCTCGTTATCCTCGTCTTCACTCTCGTCGATCGACTCGTCATCGTCGTCATCATCGCCCGCGTCGTCGGCATGGTCGTCGTCGTCTTCCGTCTCGGCAAAATGCGCACTCTTGTTGCCCATCGTATGGGCCTCGGCGACCTTGGGCTGCGTCTCCTTGGCGGCAACCCAGATAGACGCTGACACGTGCCGGAGGACTCGCGCAGGAGCCTGACCGACCTCGATCTTCGCCACAATCCTCTTGATGAAAGGGTTGGACTCGATGTCGGCGAGGCAGTCCTCCTCTACAATGTTCCTATTCTGCCGCTTGCCCATGGCGGTTACTCAAGGCGTTTCGTACAAAACTGTCGCGGGAGCATGGTTTGGTGACTCCTGTGCTAGACGAACCTTTTCAACCTGCTCCATTTGCTGTGTTTGGGGTGTTCGGTGTGGGTTGGATGGGACGGGCAAGGATGGAGGTTGGCGCACCTATTTGGTGATTGGTTGGTGTGGCTGCATGGTTGTCGACGCGAGTTTTATTGCGCACTCTGGTACACGGTGGTATATTCGCCCACTTTCCGGGCCGAGCTTGCTCCGGACATGCTGCGCATTACGGTTCGTCGCTTCCAACAAGTGCGATTCCACGCAGCAACATTTGCGACCGAGTTCCTTTTATCAGGGGCCAGGGCCTCCGATACCCAATTTTCAGGATGTCACGTGCCAATCCTGAAAATTTTCACCTTGTCATGTCAGTTTTGAATCATAGTGCAACCCTGAGGATTCAGTAAAGTATTCATGTACCAGCCCTTAGCCGTCAGCATGCCTTCAGGGAGATCCCTGTTTTCTCGAATCTTGCACATGCACATGCGCTACCTGGGTATCCCTTCTTTTTTCTGCCCAAAAACATTTCGGCTAAGTCCTCGGTGCTAGTGACAACCCTCTGAAACCCCCCCCTACTCTGAAAAAACGGCTAAGTCTTGAATGCTACTGTAGAGACAATCCTCCAAAACTCCTCCGCAAATATGATTTTTTGGCGAAGTTCTCAATGCTAGAGAGAATCCTCCCCTCCTCACTGCCAGAGAGACTCCTGCACATCCCCTATGCAACCTAGAAATCTGGCTTACTCCTCATCGGATTCATGATGCCCAGGTTACGTCGAATCAAAATCCCGTCACGTGAGGGCGCATTTCTCGCCTCTAGTCAAGGTTTTAATCAAGTGGGGCGCACTCTAGTCAAGCGCGCAAAGTTCTCAACCGCTTTGAAACTTGGCCACTAGACTAGACTAGAAGCTCGACTAGTGGCCAGAAACGCTCCCTAATTCAACATCCAACCGTACGCAACTCACTGTTTCTTTTTGTGGGCCACAAGCCTTTAACAGTCAGCCGAAGAAGAAAATTCCAGGTCTGATTTGTCCTGTCCCCGCGCAACACGTGAAGCACGGACACCCTGTAAGTGTATTGCTGCTATTTAAAGTGACTTAAAATATTTCCAGCATTTCAGAATTTACCGTGAGGCCACAGTATAAGACTGAGGAATCAGTATGAACATATGCGACCAACCCTGACTGCAACACGTTTTCTTGGGGGGCCACCCCGATTGGTCAGGATGCCTAGAATCCTATCTGAGGCCCTGTCGGGGGCACTTATCAGAGCTGAAGTTTCAAAAAGAGGCACTCTGATTTCACCCCCAATCTTTTTTCGGGAGTCTGGAAGGCCAGGCTCCAAGGAAGCACTCCTCTGAATATCTCAGGGTTCAAGAAGCATCATCAGAGTTCCAAATGATAGAAACCCCAGCCTAACTTCTGTTGTGAACTACATGCTTAACTATGCTAGAATGCAAGAATACTTAAAACTTTGGTTGGTCCAAAGAGATCTCATCCTCCGCCTCACCATCCGACAGAAAAGGATTGTCTACTATCCCCTGGCCATCCGTTGCCCTGTAGGCCTGGTCTGTCTCCTCCTCCTCCCCCTCCTCCGCCCACTCCTTGCCCTCATAGTCGAGCACGGCTACCTCCTTCACCTGCTCATCTTCCAGGGCCTTGCCCTTCCGCTTCCGCTCTTCAGCTGCAAATAGCACGCTCTTTGCAGGGCGTCTCTTCTTTTCGTGCCAGCACTTCACGCACGCATCCCAGTCGATGCTGTATTGCAGCAGGGATATGGCAATGAGCTCACCCAACCTGGTGTTGCACAAGGCTCCGCGCACCCAGGATTTGATGACGTTCTGCCTCGAGTAGCCCCGCTCGCACTCGATTGTACTGAGTGGCAGCACTGCACATGCCTGCCACAAGCGCATGCTGTTGGGCCAGTGCCTGTCAAAGGAAGAGTCCATGGAGAGGGAGGCACTAGAATGGATTAGTAACCATGACCTAGGCATTCAGGGGCAGAGAAGCTTTGTTGTACAAGAGTTGTTTTCAACAGGGTAATTTGAGGGGTGTACTCAAGTGAAAGACTCTGTTGTGCTCATGTAATTTGTAAGGCCCTGAAAGAATCCCTCCTCTTCGTGACGGCTCTGCATGAGAGGTGCCAAGGTTGCCAGCTCCTTCTCCGCCGCCATCATGTCGAAGCCCGGCAACTGGTTGAGAAAATCCCGTGTCCATGCAGATAATCCCGTGACTTCTTCTCCCGCTGATGACGTTGGCGCGACCACTTGCCTGCACAGAACAGCTTCGTCAGCCCCAGCTTCTTAAAGTCCTCCAACCGTTTCAGCACGTTCACAATGCTCTCCTTTGCAAACTTCGCGCACAGGGTGGCGCGGTCGTTGTAGTCACTCCGGTACACGTGCCCCTTGATGTGCTTCTCGTGCATCACATACGTGTGTGTCGTCGGCTGTCCGTCCTTGTCGACCCTGCGGAATTTCACGCGCTTTGCCCTGCCTCGCCCGTACAATGTTAAGAACGCTGATAGCCAGGTGCCGCTGACGCCCGCACCGAAAACCGCCCCGCACTCCAAGTAGCGGTGCCGAAGATCCCCCATTGCCTCGGCAATGTCCTTCGTGATTTCTGTTACATTGACCTGGTGGGAAAAGGAGGGTAGGACAGGATGGGAAGAAACACAAGCAGGGATAAAACACAAGTACCCTTCTGAAACGGATGCAAGTGTACACATCACGTACTGACCTGCCGCTTTTGAAACTTGAGATCCAATTCGTTCATCGCACCGAGGATGTCCGCGAGGAAGAAGAGACAGAATTGCAAAACAATAGTTGCCCCTAAGATCTTACAGAAGCGCCTCACGGCCTCACCCTTGGAGAGTCACTGGATGGCGTGAATGCCTTAAACTTCCAAGTTAGTCTTGTGAATAACTCGCCGGAGGTAATTAAAGCGCTGGCTCCACACACTTGACTGACCCAGGAGATCGGCCAAAGTGCGGATGACCTTGTCTGCCATGTCCAAGTCTGGACAGGCGGACGCGGCATCCTTGACCGCCCGCGCCTTCCTGCATGCATAGAACCAAAACAAGCTGTGTGATGCTTCCCCCTAGTTCTGTCTGTGCTCTCGTTGCAGCTTATGCCGAGGAACAGCCAAGACTGAATGAACTCCATCTGCGTCCTCTAAAGGCACGTCGACAAGCAGTACACCATTTGCTGGAAACCATACCTGCACAAGCAAGGGAGTCGAGGTTAGAGAACCGCACTGTAGGAAAAATAAAGCATGCAACAACGGAGTCAGGAACTTACTGGGTGAGATAGACGCCGTACGACTCAGCCATGAAATGCAGTAAACGAGGAAACATACTTGTCGGGGCATCGACCTTGCAGAGGAAATCGACAGCCCGAAGCAGACGGATGACCCTCCTCCCCTCGACGTCGGCATTGGCGAAGCCATCGAGCGTCTTCTGCTTCGCTGCAATGTCGTCAGCGATCTCTTGCTGGCGCTCCACAGCTTCCTTATGTGCAGTGGTGTGCTCATGCAGGCGCATCGTTTGCATCTGTAGATCTCGGCCCCCTTTGCCGCTAGAGGAATACTTGGTGTTTTCCTTCCCAAAGGAAAGACAAACACTGCACTTAAGAGCAGGATGGCCAGACTTAGTTTTCGTAAAAAGCAGCCACGGAAAAAAAGGCAGCCATTTCGTCGTGTAATTGGCCTCAGCGACCAAGTACTTCTGCTCGATCAGTACCTCATCATTCAGCTTGGGTGGCGCAGGCTCAGCAGTGTCGATAGGTTCCGGTGCACGCGGTGGCGAGGGGTGGCAGACTCTACCTCCGGCGATAATTGTGCTCTGGTAGTACTTGCCAGTGTGCCGTTTCTTGGCGGACGAGATCGTTGACGCGCACGGCACACTGTACCATACATTCGTTGTGGTAGTGCATGTGGGAGGAACGGCAGGTCCCTTGCTAGATGATGCGACAGCAGGGGGAGGAACATTGGGAGTTGGGGCAGCAGGTGCTACACGTGGCTGGTTTACTGTGGGCTGTGTTTCCGTTACAGTAGACGAGACTAGCCCTGGTGGGGAGGAAGTGTTGGCCACCTTGCGGAGAAAATCGAGGCCAGACATAGGCAGCTCTGCCCGATTGCGTGTGCTAGTAGCGGCGTCATCGACATCGTCTGGTAGGTCCTCAGCTGAGCCGGGATCCGCCATGGCTACTAGACGGGAGAAACTAAGTGGAGAAACTAAACTCGGAAACAGAGCTATAAGCTCGGCAGACTATCCCACACAACACGAAAGAACCGGGCATTAGGGAAGGGTCCCATCCTCGCCGAGACCCCCGTCTTTGGGTTGGCGATGTGATGGTTCTGGACGCACCGCACAGCGGGAAAGCTGGCATCACCTCCATGAGGTGATGGTAGTTGGTGGGACCAATAAGGGGGTTGTCGAATGTTCGCCACTGCCAACAGTGTCAGGTCGAGCAGCAATGCCACATGCGCTGTTCTACAGCGAACTTGTCGCGTGGTCCTCCGTGCCTGGGCATGGGGCCTGGTCCGCCACGCTGGGCAGTCAAGTGCTCGTTGTGGGCGGGAAATGGGTGGTAACTGCTGCTTAGTGGAGGGGCTTCACGTGACGCATGTGCGGGACATTGATTTCTGGCAACATGTGACGTGTGTAAAGAACTTCCAAGGAACCTGCATACTCATAGATGTTGCTCTCAGGGACCATACACGCAGCACTCTAAAAACTGATTTTCCATACAAGCGTCACTCTGAAACATGCACGGATATGAAAATATGAAGTACCTATGAAGCCCGAGTGAACACCACTTGGGTGCCATAGGTCTTTACGTGGCAGCAACTAGAAACGCTTAAGTAGAATTGAGTAGAGAGCTTGCTTGAAAGCTCTTGTGAAAATTGATGGTAACCGGTTTTGGCTCAAGAGCCATCTTCAGACCGCAAAGAAATAAACAAGCTAGCTAGCCTATAAATGCCAATCTCGAGGAATCCTCGCGAGGCATTCCTCTGCGGGGTCCGACGAGGCAAGGGAAAAGAAAGATAAAACGAACAGTAAAAATCTATTGTAGTTATTGTTAGAATGCAAGAATAATCGACCAGTGTGAGAAACCTAGCACATATACCTGTTGGGGTTGTACTCACTAGAAACACACACCTAGGCTAGCCTATAACTTCTACATACAACATGGCACGGAGAGGCCAGTCGTCGAGGCGGCGGAAACAGCGGGCTGTTGGGTGCGGGTGGCGGCACAGAGTGCCGCGGAGAGGCCTGGTCTGAAGCTGGTACTGGTAGGTCACACCAACGGAGCTGCCGGTAGACGCCAAGCTGCGCGGGCCGCCACCACGGCCACCACCGACGGAGGTGCCGGGCCAACTTGGCGGAAGACGAGCCCACGGCGGGGGCTGAGACGGCTGCTGCGACAAATGCTACGGCTGCTGCGACAACTGCTGCGGCTGCTCCTGCGGCTGCTCCTGCTGCAGGAGCGACGGCAGCTGCTCCTGACAAGCTCCGGCAGTCCCCTCAGTAGAACCACTGTCCCCGGCACCACCACCACTACCACCAGCTCCACCACCATGCCCTCCCAAGCGGCCAGGACCGGCGCGGCGCGAGCGCTGCTGCGGGTGGACCGCAGCTGCAGTCTCGGTCAGAGGGGTCGCAGTGGCGATCGCAGCCGAAACGCCAGTAAACGTGCACTGGGAGGGGGCACAGCCATGAAAGATAGAGACTGCCGGCGCACCGCTCGACTGAGCGATAGTGCGCTGGCGAGTCTTGATCTCGGTCAGGGCGGTGACAAAGGCTGGCAGGGTGAGATCACCCGGGTGCTGGCTAAGGATGTGGTCGCGTGCACTAGCAAGGCGGTGAGGTAGGCGCATAGCGATAAAGTAGAGGGTCATGCAGAAGGGGGGGGGGAGCGCAGTGAGCTGGGCAACGGTGCTGGCAGTGCGGTAGCAAGACTCTAGGGCTCGCAGGTGAGTGGCAAGGTCAGCAACAGTAGGGAAGGAAGCAAGGTCTGGGAAAAGAATAGGGAAGAGCAGGCGGCCGGCAGTAGCAGAGGCAGGCGTGGAATAGCGAGCAACAACAGCATCTAAGTAAGCCTTGGCTGTGTCAACGGTAGCGAAATGCGAACGCTCAGACACAGGGAGGGCGTGACTGATCGCGACCTGAGCAACTTCATCGCAAGAGTCCCAGATGGCACAGGCAAGGGCAGCAGCAGAGAAAGCCTAACTCTCAGCAGAGGTGGGGTCAGCAGGGAGGGGAGCAGGCGCAGGGGGGCGGGGGAGCAAGCCATCAGCATGGACAACTAAGGAGTGCCCATCCTGGCGCTGACCTGTGAGTTGACGACGGAGATCGGACAGCCAGGCGGCGAAGTCAAGCGCATGGCCCTCAGCGTCCAGGCGGAGTACGAAGTCAGCCATCGTGCAGGGTCAGTGACACAGCTCCTCAGCGACACAGGGACACAGCGGCACAGCTCCACAGGGACACAGCGGCACAGGGACATAGCAGGACAGCTCCAGGGGGACGGCTGCAAGACGCTCCAGCGCGGGCGAGCAGAGGACACAGGGCCGGAGTAGGCGCTAGGAGGGGCCGAGAAGGGGCTAGGAGGGGCCGGGCGGGCGCTGGGAGGGGCCGGGCAGGCGCTGGGAGCCGGGCGGGCGCGACGGGGCCAGGCGGGCGCGACGGGCCAGGCGGGCGCGACGGGCCAGGCGGGGGCGACGGGGCCAGGCGGGCGCGACGGGGCGGGCGGGCGCGACGGGGCTAGGCGGGCGCGACGGGGCCAGGCGGGCGCGGCGGGGCTAGGCGGGCGCGGCGGGCCAGGCGGGCGCGACGGGGCCAGGCGGGCGCGACAGGGCGGGCGGGCGCGGCTGGGCCAGGCGGGCGCGACGGGGCCAGGCGGGCGCGGCGGGGCTAGGCGGGCGCGACGGGGCCAGGCGAGCGCTACGGGCCAGGCAGGCGCGGCGGGGCCAGGCGGGCGTGACGGGGCCAGGCGGGCGCGACGGGGCCAGGCGGGCGCGACGGGCCAGGCGGGCGCTACGGGCCAGGCTGGCGCGACGGGCCAGGAGGGCGCGACGGGGCAGGCGGGCTCTAAGGGGCCATGTGGGCGCGCTAAGGGCCGGGCGGGCTCTATGAGCCGGGCGGGCGCTAGGGCTAGCTAGGGGGCGAGAGGCTAGGGCGCGGGTGGGTGGACCTAACCTACTCGTGATACCATGTTAGAATGCAAGAATAATCGACTAGTGTGAGAAACCTAGCACATATACCTGTTGGGGTTGTACTCACTAGAAGCACACACCTAGGCTAGCCTATAACTTCTACATACAACATATGTATACGTTGACAGTTATAACACTTATAAGCAGAAATTAGAAAATTTCCAACTCTCTTCGGCAGCCTGTTGGAAATACCTCGAGGACTTAAGCGTTTCTGAAGTGTAACACACACTCGAGGAAGATCGTAACGGGTACGCGAGTCAACGGAGGTTACACGAGGGGGTGGACAAAGAACACGAAAGGACTCGAGGGGTCGTAACCGGAGGTTGCGACTGACCGTTACAACTGCAAGGATGGTAACCGAAGCGACAATCGAGTTGCTGTGTGACTCGATAACCGCTCTTTCAACTGTATTCTACAACTGATTTACTTTCCTACTTTCTGTATATTGCTGTATGCTTGTTCTTTTAATCAATCACTTGTTCTCACATACTAGTACAAGGGTTCAACTACTCAACTTCCGCTGCACTACTCAAAGTCTCTGGAAAGATCCCAAGGGCATTTTCTCAGCCCAACACAGCCTCCAAGCGAGAATGGTTCTTCTTGAAGCGAAAGTTCCGTGTGACATTGTAACGAGATACTTTTGAGTAGACTCAAAAGTCATCCTATGAAGCCTTCAGTGACAGGACAAGGCAAGTCTGGAAACATCAGGGACCCCAAAAAACAACCGTTTGCAAATTCAGACAATTAGACTAAAATAGCCTGATAACGTCAGCCCTGGAGCAGTGCCTATTTTTCACGAGTAAATTACTCTGATTCTCTGATTTTCAGAGTTGATTTCGTGTACCACCCTTACGCCTCTGGGTAAAATTTTGAGATTATACATTTTCTCTGATAAGCCAGGGTTTTCTTTTGTACCACCCTGAGGGGTTTACTGTAAGGGGGATACCCCCGGATTTTCTTGTACCCCACTGTCCATACATGCCCCCTTGTTCACGCAGACCGCCGAGCTGGCCCCACGTCATATACCCCCGGATTTTCGTGTACCCCCCTGTCTACATACGTGGCCCCATATCCCCGCCGTATTCACGCAGACCGCCCAGCTGGCCCACGTCACATGATGCTTGTCTCGCCCTTGCTGGCAGATTCCATGATCCCTATTGGACACATGTTTTCCTCACGCCTCCCTTTTTCCAAGCCCTCTCTAGCCCCACTCCCCCACTTTAGCCTCTCTCACAGCATTCACGTATCTTCGTTCCTCACCTTAGTCGTTTTTTCAGCAAACGCCCTCTCTCATTACCAGGGTCCGCCATGCCTAGCGCGGTTGATCTCGATGATGGCGTCAGTGGTGGGAAGAATCCAGGCTCCTGGTGCTCGCTAAGTGCCATGCCCTAACAACCCTGCTAGCATACTAGCAGAACATACCACACCACATCACATGCTACGAGTGGCCGCCATTTCCGCCACTGCTGCCGCTACTACGAGTGACGCCAATTCTGTTGGCTGCTGCCGCCCATGGGACGATCGCCGCTGCTACTGCTATGCATAGTGAGATCGTAGCTGCTGCTGCTAAGTGACCGAATTTCCGCGTAGACTGCTGTTGTTAGTTGCGAGTGCCGCGATTTTCACTCATGTTGCTAGATGTGACGAGATGAGTTTGCCGTCACTGCTAACGCAACCGGTGATACGATTGTTGCTCACGTTGCTTATTTGTGTGTGTGACAGGATCGCCACCACCGCTGTTGCTGCAGTGGGTAACGAGTTCCTGTTGCTTGCTGCGGCGGCAGCGCAGGGTGAGATTGCATCAGTTGCTACTACAGGTGACAAGTTTCTGCAGCTGCCGCAGTTACGAATGTCAACAATTTTAACTGGTATGGAGCAGATTAGAGCCCAACGGACGACATGGAATGGCGGGGATTCGTATTAGTGGAGCCTGGCTCCCTGGCTCCTGCGCCTTCAGGTCCACAGTGAACAGAGGTCACCTACAGTATTTGTGAGTGGAGCAACGGATGGGAAGCGGGAAAATCAAGGGAGCCCAGCCGAGCATCGAAGACCACGACAACGGGCGCACAACAAATCTGCTTGACTCGGAGAATACCCGTATCGGATAGAGGAACATCCCTTCCGATTCGGCTACACAACCTCTAAAAGTCAAACTAAGTTCAACGTGTTACTAGCCTTTTGGAGTCCTGTGCTACTAGTGTGTATGGCATGATGCTCATGAGTGAATGAAGGAATATAACACTATATTTATTGCAAGAGCACATACCCCCCTAGATCCACGGTGTCAATAACACACACTGTTAAGAGGGTGAAATAAAGGCACCCTGACTTGTCAGAGTAAAAAACTCCAAAACGTAGGGTTACCCTGATGCCTCAGGGTAAGTGTGGAGGATCACTCTGGTTTTCAGAGTAGAGGGGAAAGTAACTTCCAGATTTCAGAGTAGTGAAAATCCTAAGATCAGCACTGCCCTGGAGCCTATACCAACATCCAATAGGCAGACACATGCGCGACGTGACGTGGCTACAAGGCCGAGCTGATCCTGGCGTTCTAGGTTGCCCGCCAGGATCAGTCCCGTTTTCCTGATCCTGATCCTGGACGATAGGAAAGTCCTTTTATAATTTCCAACAAGCTAAATCATGAGGCAAAAGCGAACACCAGTCATCTACAACTGGCACACAGCAGATACAGTGGGATGAACACCCCGAGACAGCACCCCTGCAAAGGGAGAGAAGTGTCAGAAACCCAGCCACTAACCACTGGGTTAAAAGGGCTTGTTGAATAGCGGGTAAGTGCGCCCATAGCCCCCCAGGCTCTGCACCTATGGCCCTTCCCCGAGGATCTCAAGGGCAACCCCAGCGGGTCACTCAACAAGAAGGTACTGTACATAAGAGTTGAGAGCAAACCCTCTCCTACCCTTCAAAGAGAGGAGGAGCTAGACAGGAAATCAAAGAGGGTATCCTGGCACCCCATGGCCATGAATTCACATGTGTGCTTTTGGCTGGCTCCACGCGCAGCCATGACATTTCTGAGAATTCTAAAGGAAAGCACCCGACTGGAAGAGCAGGACGGAAAAGCACTCTACAAGAGACAGTTGGGCCTTGATCTTCTGATTCTTGCTTCCCCCCACCCCACCCCACCCCACCCCACCCCATGAGCCCTTTCACAACAGATGCGCGCTGCCCAGAAAGGGAAGCACGCTTCACAAGAGCGGGTTCGACCTTGATCTTCTGATTGTCGCTCCCCACCCCATTCCCTCTTCCTCCACTTCCTCCTCCTCTGCTTCCTCCCTCTCCACCCTTCCACCATCCCCATCCCCCTCCCCTTCCTCCCCTTCCTCCTCTTCCTCCTCTTCCTCTACCATCCCATCTATCTCCATATCAGACCCCACCGAAACCCCCTCCTCCACACCCTCTCCCTCCTCCTCTCCCTCCTCTCCTCCCTCCTCCCCCCCCATCCGTCCTCTTGTCTGCATGGCCGCAAGCGAGCGAGAGTGAGTGAGGGAGTGAGGCGGGGGAGTGGAGGGAGGGGAGGCGGAGGAGGAGGGGGAGAGGGGCGGAGAGGAGGGGTTGGGGGGAGAGGAGGTGGAGGGGCGGGTGGAGGGTGAGGGGGAGAGGCGGGGGTCGTGGGTTACAATGTAACGGAGTAGGTCTGGGTTCATGGTGTCTGGCACTGGTGGCTCACTCTCCTCCTGCAACCACAAGTCAGGTGTTTCGGAGTACTCCTGGTAGACAGATGTGTGTGCACACACCCAATCATGCACACGCACACGGGAGGAAGCAAGCACACACGGCACACAGGGAGTAGGTCTGGGTTCATGGTGTCTGGCACTGGTGCCTCACTCTCCTCCGGCAACCACATGTCTGGGGTTTCAGAGTACTCCTGGTAGGGACAATACACAGCCACACAGCCACAGCCACACAGCACGGAGCACACACACACAACACAGACACCCATGCAAGCACACAGGGCATGAAAGACGGAGAGGCGGGGGCTGTGGGTTACAACGTAACGGAGCAGGTCTAAGTTCATGGTGTCTGGCACTGGTGGCTCACTCTCCTCCTGCCACCACATGTCTGGGGTTTCAGAGCACCCACGCTCAAGAGCACCCACACTCAAGAGCACCCACGCTCAAGAGCAACCATGCTCAAAAGCACCCATGCTCAAAAGCACCCACGCCCAAGAGCACCCACGCTCAAAAGCACCCACGCCCAAGAGCACCCACGCCCAAGAGCACCCACGCCCAAGAGCACCCACACCCAAGAGCACCCACGCTCAAGAGCACCCACGCTCAAGAGCACCCACGCCCAAGAGCACCCATGCCCAAGAGCACCCACGCTCAAGAGCACCCAAGCTCAGGAGCACCCACGCTCAAGAGCACCCACGCTCAAGAGCACCCACGCTCAAGAGCACCCACGCTCAAGAGCACCCACGCTCAAGAGCACCCACGCCCAAGAGCACCCACGCCCAAGAGCACCCACGCCCAAGAGCACCCACGCCCAAGAGAACCCACGCCCAAGAGAACCCACGCTCAAGAGCACCCACGCTCAAGAGCACCCACGCCCAAGAGCACCCACGCTCAAGAGCACCCATGCTCAAGAGCACCCACGCTCAAGAGCACCCATGCTCAAAAGCACCCACGCCCAAGAGCACCCACGCCCAAGAGCACCCACGCTCAAAAGCACCCATGCCCAAGAGCACCCACGCCCAAGAGCACCCACGCCCAAGAGCACCCACGCCCAAGAGCACCCACGCCCAAGAGCACCCACGCTCAAAAGCACCCACGCCCAAGAGCACCCACGCCCAAGAGCACCCACGCCCAAGAGCACCCACTCTCAAGAGCACCCACGCTCAAGAGCACCCACGCCCAAGAGCACCCATGCCCAAGAGCACCCACGCTCAAGAGCACCCACGCTCAGGAGCACCCACGCTCAGGAGCACCCACGCTCAGGAGCACCCACGCTCAAGAGCACCCACGCTCAAGAGCACCCACGCTCAAGAGCACCCACGCTCAAGAGCACCCACGCTCAAGAGCACCCACGCTCAAGAGCACCCACGCTCAAGAGCACCCACGCCCAAGAGCACCCACGCCCAAGAGCACCCACGCTCAAGAGCACCCACGCTCAAGAGCACCCACGCCCAAGAGCACCCACGCCCAAGAGCACCCATGCCCAAGAGCACCCACGCTCAAGAGCACCCACGACCAAGAGAACGCTCAAGAGCACCCACGCCCAAGAGCACCCATGCTCAAGAGCACCCACGCTCAAGAGCACCCACGCTCAAGAGCACCCACGCCCAAGAGCACCCACTCTCAAGAGCACCCACGCTCAAGAGCACCCACGCCCAAGAGCACCCATGCCCAAGAGCACCCACGCTCAAGAGCACCCACGCCCAAGAGCACCCACGCCCAAGAGCACCCATGCCCAAGAGCACCCACGCTCAAGAGCACCCACGACCAAGAGAACGCTCAAGAGCACCCACGCCCAAGAGCACCCACGCTCAGGAGCACCCACGCTCAAGAGCACCCACGCCCAAGAGCACCCACGCTCAAGAGCACCCACGCTCAAGAGAACCCACGCCCAAGAGAACCCACGCTCAAGAGCACCCACGCTCAAGAGCACCCACGCTCAAGAGCACCCACGCTCAAGAGCACCCACACTCAAGAGCACCCACACTCATGAGCACCCACACTCAAGAGTACCCACACTCAAGAGTACCCATGAACAGAATACAGCAAGCGCTTAAGATCGCCCAACGTCCAACATCGCACAACGCTCAAGGTCGCCTAACGCTCGAGATCGCCAAACACCCAAGATCGCCCAACCCCCACACCTCAAGATCGCCCATTGTTCAAGATCGCCCAACGCCCAAGATAGCCCAACGCCCAACATCGCACAACGCTCAAGATCGCCCAACACCCAAGATCGCCCAACGCCCACACCCCCAAGATCGCCCTTTGCGCAAGATCGCCCATTGCTCAAGATCGCCCAACGCCCAAGATAGCCCAACGCCCACGATCGCCCACACCAAACATCGCACAACGCTCAAGGTCGCCTAACGCTCAAGATCGCCCAACACCCAAGATTGCCGAACGCCCACACCCCCAAGATTTGCGCAAGTTCGCCCTTTGCTCAAGATCGCCAACACTCAAGATCGCCCAACGCTCAAGATCACCCACCCCCAAGATCGCCCAACGCCCAAGATCGCCAAACACCCAAAATTGCACATTGCTCAAGATCGCTCAACGCGCAAGCTCGCCCAACGCTCATGATCGCCCAATGCTCAAGACCGCCCAACGCTCAAGACCGCCCACCCCCGAGATTGCCTAACGCTCAAGATTGCCCAATGCCCAAGATCGCCCACCGCTCAAGATCGCCCAACCCTCAAGATCGCCCACTGCGCAAGATCGTCAAACACCCAAGATCGCCCATCGCTCAAGGTCGCCAAACTCTCAAGATCGCCCAACTCTAAAGATCGCCCAACGCTCAAGACCGCCAAACGCTCAAGATCGCCCAACGCTCAAGATCGCCAAACGCTCAAGGTCGCCCAGCGCTCAAGGTCGCCCAACAATCAAGATCGCCCGAAGCTCAAGATCGCCCCACACCCAAGATCGCCAAACGCCCAAGGTCGCCCAACGCCCAAAATCGCCCAACGTCCAAGATCGCCCAATGCTCAAGACCGCCCAGCGCTCAAGATCGCCCAACGCTCAAGGCCGCCCAACGCTCAAGACCGGCCAACGTTCAAAATCGCCCAACGCTCAAGATCGCCCAACGCTCGAGATCGCCCAACTCTCAAGATCGCCCAACGCTCAAGATCGCCCAACCCTCAAGATCGCCCATCGCTCAAGATCGCCCACCTTTCAAGATCGCCCAACGCCCAAGATCGCCCACCCCCAAGATCGCCCAACACTCAAGTCTTCCCCACGCTCAAGATCTCACAAAGCTCAAGATCGCCCAGCGCTCAAGATCGCCCAGCGCTCAAGATCGCCCAGCGCTCAAGATTGCCCAACTCTCAAGATCGCCCAACGCTCAAGACCGCCCAGCGCTCAAGATCGCCCAGCACTCAAGATCGCCCAACGCTCAAGGCCGCCCAACGCTCAAGACCGGCCAACGCTCAAGAACGGCCAACGCTCAAGACCGACCAACGCTCAAGATCGCCCAACGCTCAAGATCGCCCAACACTCAAGATCGCCCAACGCTCAAGATCCTCAAACTCTCAAGATCACCCACCGCTCAAGAGCGCCCACCGCCAAGATCGCCCACCGCTCAAGATCGCCCAACGCTCAAGATCGCTCAGCGCTCAAGATCGCTCAACGCTCAAGATCGCCCAACGCTCAAGATCGCCCAGACTCAAGATCAGCCAGCGCTCAAGACCGCCCAACGCTCAAGACCGCCCAACGCTCAAGATCGGCCAGAGCTCAAGGTCGCCCGACGCTCAAGATCGCCCGACACTCAAGATCGCCCGACTCTCAAAATCACCCAACTCTCAGCATCGACCAACACCCAAGATCGCCCAACGTCCAAGATCGCCCAGCACTCAAGATCGCCCAGCGCCCAAGTTCGCCCAACGCCCAAGATCGACCAACGCCCAAGATCGCCCAATGCCCAAGATCGCCCAGCGCCCAAGATCGCCCAACGCCAAAGATCGCCCAACGCCCAAGATCGCCCAACGCCCAAGATCGCCGAACGCCCAAGATCGCCGAACGCCCAAGATCGCCCAACGCCCAAGATCACCCAACTCCCAAGATTGCCAAACGCCCAAGATCGCCCAACGCCCAAGATCGCCCTACGCCCAAGATCGCCCAACGCCCAAGATGGCCAAACGCCCAAGATGGCCAAACGCCCAAGATCGCCCAACGCCCAAGATCGCCCAACGCTCAAGATCGCCCAACGCTCAAGATCGCCCAACGCTCAAGATCGCCCAACGCTCAAGATCGCCCAACGCTCAAAATCGCCCAACGCTCAAAATCGCCCAACTCTCAAGATCGCTCAACGCTCAAGATCGCCCTCCGCCAAGATCGCCCACTCCCAAGATCGCCCACCCCCAAGACCGCCCAACGCTCAAGATTGCCCAACACTAAGATCGCTCTGCGCTCAAGATCGCTCAGCGCTCAAGATCGCCCAACGCTCAAGATCGCCCAACGCTCAAGATCGCCAATCGCTCAAGATCGCCCAACTCTCAAGATCGGCCAACGCGCAAGATCGGCCAACGCTCAAGATCGCCCAACTCTGAAGATCGCCCAACGCTCAAGATCGCCCAACGCTCAAGATCGCCCAACACTCAAGATCGCCCAACTCTCAAGATCGCCCAACGCTTAAGATCGCCCAACGCGCAAGATCGCCCACCGCTCAAGATCGCCCACCGCTAGACATGGGTATATCGCATCGCATCGCGATATATCGCATTGCATTTTATTGCATTTTATTGCATTTTGCGATTGCAATTTTTTTTTTAAAGTAAAGAATCGCAGCGATGCGATGCGATAATATCGCGCGATTTTTGCGATATCGGGCAGTTATCGCGGATTTTCCAGCGCGATATAACGCGATATGCGATATTAAAATATCGCGCGCCATACATCCGCATATCGCGTCGCGGAATTGCGCCAGAAAGGGGGGGGAACATGGGCGTGGGCCTTGAACTTAGCAAAAATTAAGGTTCTCTGGTTGTAATGGCGTGCGGAAATTGTGCGCGGCTGTTTGGGGTTGGCGTAATTGACGGGGAGGTGTTTGTGAGGAGCTTGGAGAGGAAGGGTTGGAAATTCTAGTTGAAAAGGAGTGCAGTGCGGTTGAGGGGAGGGAGTTGGTTGGAGGTTCAAATTTTGACATGGGCGGTGGTGGATGGAATGTGGTGGTGTGCGGTCAAAGGGATTTAGGGGGTTGATTGAAATCTCGACCCCCACTAAGTCAATTGGTCGGAAGTCCAACCAATTTCCACCACTTCAACCGCACTACATTCCTCCACATCTACGGAATCCAACCCCTGCCCCTCTAACACGCTTTACATCAGAGAGGGGCTACGCTATCCCATTCTCCCGTTAAACTTCACTCACCTAGTTCCTCGCACACCTAGGAAAGTCGGCCTTGTCGTTCTGCTTTTCTCCTCCGACCCCTAAATGCGATGCGATATTAAATCGCATCGCGCGATGTATCGCATTCATGGGTGCGATATTTTGTAACATCGCACCCTAAAAAGCGATATGCGATTTCAAATTTTGAAACAGAATATCGCAGCGATGCGATATCGCATCGCTGCGATATCACGCGCGATAAGACAAAATGCGATGCGATATCGCATCGCATCGCATTTTAACCATGTCTACCCACCGCCACGATCGCCCACCGCTCAAGATGGCCCAACGCTCAAGATCGCTCAACGCTCAAGATCGCCCAACGCTCAAGATTCCCCAGACTCTAGATCGCCCAACGCTCAAGATCACCCAACGCTCAAGACCGCCCAACGCTCAAGACCGCCCAACGCTCAAGATCGCCCAACGCTCAATATCGCCCAACGCTCAAGATCGCCAAACGCTCAAGATCGCCCAACTCCCAAGATCACCGAACTCTCAAGATGGCCCAACTCTCAAGATCGCCCAACGCTCAAGAAGGTGCAAAATAAACGTCGTTTTTTTTTTAATTATTATTATTATTATTTACCGTAAAAAACGGTATCGTTCTTTTCGGCCGTTTTTTACGGTAAAAAACGGTTATGAAGTGTGTTTTTAAGTTGGTGCAAAAAAACGCTTGAAAAATACGGTCGTTTTCTTTCGACCTGTCAATTGTCGAAAAAAAATCAGGACAGACAGGAGGAGAGTAGGCGTAGGAGGAGTTGGAGTAGGAATAGGATGAGTTGGAGTAGGGGCAGGAGAAGGAGGATTTGAAAATGTCTATGAAAAAAAGACAAATTTTTCAGAAATCCACTGTAAAAAACGATCGTATTTTTTGCGGACCGTATTTTTTGAAAACCGAAAATTTGCACCTTGCTCAAGATCGCCATGGCTGACTCACATGAGCTGTAGGTGCACTCGTGTGGTGACGACACCTGTCGTTAGAGGCCAGCCTGGCCCTCTGCCCACGCCTACCTGTCGCCTCGCCGTGAGAAGGATATCTGAATCTCCTCACAAAATGCACGCTTACCTTCAATGAGCTGTAGCCACATGCGTGTGGTGGCGACAGAGCATGCGGTGGGAACTTGGGAAGAGTATTTACAGAAGCTGTTTAACTGAGGTCAGCGCCTCGAAGAAGGGCACGCTTACCTTCATGAGCTGTAGCCGCATGCGTGTGGTGGTGACACCTGTCGCCATGGCATTGGCTGATAGCAGCGAGAAGTGTGTGAGGGCCTCGACTATCGCTCCCTTGCGCTCCTCCTCCTGCCATGGTGCCATTGCGCAACACGTGCATGCATGCATACGCGCAGGCACATGGGCAAACACAGCAACGAGGAGTATGAGTGTGCTTCGAAAAAATCCTACCTTCAGCTCCTACGCCTGCCATGGTGCATGCAACACCTTATGCAATCGCATACACCTTATACCACATGCACCTGATGTCGCATGCCCCTGATGTCGCATGTACCTGATGCCACATGCATGTGATGAGGAGCTACAGCAACCTGGCGGAGCTACAGCAACCTAGCGGAGCTACAGCAACCTGGCGGAGCTACAGCAACCTAGCGGAGCTACAGCAACCTGGCGGAGCTACAGCAACCTGGCGGAGCTACAGCAACCTAGCGGAGCTACAGCAACCTGGCGGAGCTACAGCAACCTGGCGGAGCTACAGCAACCTGGCGGAGGACCGCAACGAATGAGGTAAGCAAGACGCGGTGGCTTGCGTCGTATGTGATCTGATGCGAATCATGATGCGCATGAAGAATCTGAGCACACTAGGATGCGGCGGCTTGCGTCGTATGTGATCTGATGCGAATCATGATGCGCATGAAGAATCTGAGCACACTAGGATGCGGCGGCTTGCGTCGTATGTGATCTGATGCGAATCATGATGCGCATGAAGAATCTGAGCACACTAGGATGCGGCGGCTTGCCTCGTATGTGATCATCGCTGTAGACGCGTTATGCCCGATAACTGGTCCCCCGCTTCGCACGCGGTTACGACTAGCCAACGGCTGGTTCACGACAAGAACCCAGGCGACCTCAAGGAGGGTGAGACCTAGGCTGGGAGGAAATTGCACTCTGGCTGCTAAAGCCGCAAGTCGCGGTTGCGCTAGTACGTGACAAATTAGGGAACTAGCAAACAGTAGGCAGAGACCTTTCCGCAGGATTTCGGTTTTGAGAGTTTCAGCGCGGTCTAGAAGCAATTGGAGAAATTTAGGGCAGTGTACTGAGGGAGAAGGGATGGGGGAGGGTGGTTTGGGCGATGTAACAAAAATGTCGCGACCATCATGTGGCTCGTCGCAGATCCTTTCGTTCAGGTGCGAATATTCGCGAAACGACTCGGATTCGCGCGTAACTCTCTGACATTGGGAGTTCTGCTGGTTCGCTGTACCTCTCTCAACTGAAACAGCATTCCCAGATTCTTCCGAGATTGGGAATTTGGGTTGGGACTGCTTTCATTTGGCCACAGTTCACAGCCGTTTCAGTCGGGATATTCCCAGTGGCAGGAGATTCCGAGTGGGAAATTCCGCCAGGCATTTCAGCTTCCGTTAGTGTTTATATTCCTCGCATTCCGTGTCGGAAAATCCGCGTCTTACTACGTGTTCGGATCAGCGATCACGTGCTGCGGTGGGATTGCTGCGTGACCTTTTCTCGGTACTGCTAATCCTGTGCTCTTGTTACGATCAATTCACGATATTGCTCAGCCTGCGTCTACGACACTGCGTAGCCTCCTTTTACGATGCTGCTGATCCTGCGGTCTTGTTACGTCTCTAATTCAACGGGTCCCTGATTCTCAGTTGCCTGACTACCAGAATCGGGATCCGCGAGTCGATTTGTACGGTCGAGCCTCTTCAGAAGCAGCGATCAGAGTTTGTAGCCGAGAGACGCAGAGAGCCGCGGAGAGCCGCAGAGAACCGCAGAGTGACGCACAGTGACGCAGAGAGGCGCAGAGAGGCGCAGAGAGCTGCGGAGATCCATGGCCGCGCAGGAATCTTCCGCTGGAGCTGCCGCTCCCCCATCGGCGTCTGCCGCCAGTCCAGCGGCGCCTCCCGCCGCTCCCCAGGATCCTTCCGCCTCACCCCCAGCGGCGCCTGCCGACACTTCAGCAGCGCCTTCCGCCTCTCCCCCAGATCCTTCCGCCACTCCCCCAGCGCCTACTGCGCCGCCGTTGGCGGAGGCGGAGGGTGGAGGGCAGGGCCAGAGTCAGGGGCAGGGGGAAGGTGAGGGACGGGGAAGAGAGGAGGCGGTGGCGGGTGGGGAGCAAGGAGGGGGAGGGGGGGAAGCGGAACGGGGCGGGGCACAGGGAGGGGGACAGGGGCAGGGGCAGGGCGGGGGGCGGGAGGAGGCGGAGGGGTGGTACAAGATCAAGCGCGTGTCGTTCCTTGGGCGGGAGCACGTGCCCATCGTCATGCAGAACGACAACGGCCCCTGCCCGCTGCTCGCCATAGGTGCGTCACTCCCTCCCCCATGGTGTAGGTGAGCGTTCATGCCCGAACCTACCTACGGCAGCAACAAGAAAGGAGCAGGTGCCCATCTTGATGCAGAATGACAACGGCCCCTGGCCGCTGCTCGCCATCGGTGCGTGTCCCAACCACCGTACCACAACTCCCCTCTTCCCCTCCCCCTCCCACTCAAATGAGCGTGTCGTTCCTTTTGAGTCGACTCAAAAGCATCGTTCCGGGGGCGGGAGCAGGTGCCCATCGTCCTGTAGAACGACAACGGCCCCCGCCCGCTGCTCGCCATCGGTGCGTGCCCCAACCCTGCCCCCCTTTCCCTCCCTGTTAACGATAAGGGGAGCAGGTTTTTGAGCCGGCTCAAAAGCCCTCTTTCCCTCCCTGTTAACGATAAGGGGAGCAGGTTTTTGAGCCGACTTAAAAGCCCCCTTTCTCTCCCTATAACCGATAAGGGGAGCAGGTGCCCATTATCATGCAGAACGACAACGGCCCCTGCCCCCTGCTCGCCATGGGTGCGTCACAGGTTCTGTTCCGTCACCCCCTCACCCCCATCGGTGCATCACAGGTTCTGTTCCGGCTCGAAGAATGGTCCCTACCTTTTACCCTTGCGCCTCCTCTCACCCCTTCTCCACTCCCCTTTTGACCTCTCTCCCTCCCTTCCTTGCGGCTCCACCTGCGTCTTGCTTCAGTATCTGTCGCCCGTCTCCTCGTTCCCATACTACCCATCTCTTCGTTCCTTGGCAGCCAATGTGTTGTTACTGCGTAACGCCATCTCGCTCCATCCCTCCCTTTGCTGTTCTCTCCTTCGCAGCCAACGAGTTGTTACTGCGTAGAGCCATCTCGCTCCGTCCGAGTGCCACCGAAATCTCCCTGTCGGATCTGCTTTTGCTGTTTCCGTATTCCCCCCTCTCTTCCTTCCCCTTCACAGCCAATGTGTTGTTACTGCGTAACGCCATCTCTCTCCGTCCCTCTCTCCTTCTCTCCCTCGCAGCCAATGTGTTGTTACTGCGTAACGCCATCTCTCTCCGTCCGAGTGCCACCGAGATCTCCCTGTCGGATCTGCTGTCGCTGGTGGCGCACCGCCTGCTGGACAGCAACACAGGCATGGAGGTGCGTGGGTGTGGGGGGTTTAAATGGAGAGGAAAGGGTGAAATCTGTTCAGGGGGGAAGGGATGGGGGAGGAGGGTGGGGGCATGGGATCTCCCAGTCGGATTTGCTGTCGCTGGTGGCGCACCGGCTGCTGGACAGGCATGGAGGTGCGTGGAAAAAGGGGGCGAATGGGTGGGGGGAAGGTGTGGAGAGGGGGGGGAGCGTTGGGGGAGGGGATTTGGGATCTCCCAGTCGGATCTGCTGTCGCTGGTGGCGCACCGCCTGCTGGACAGCAACACAGCCATGGAGGTGCGTGGTACAGGGGGGAGGGGAAGGGGGCAAGGGTGGAATGGGGGGGAGGGGCGTTGGGGAGGGGGGAAGAGGGGAAAGGGGGGGGGGGGGAGGGGCTGTTGGGGGAGGGGTTCTAGGATCTCCAGCCACGCCTTAATTGCTCTCTCAATAACACACCACTCCACTCCACCGCACCCCATCACATCCCATCCCATCCATCAACCCAAACCCCCTTTTAAACAGGGCCGCTTTACTGAGTACATCAGCAACCAGCCAGCAGAACGTGGCTGACTGCATGGCTCTGCTGCCCGCCACGCCACAAGCACTGACCGTCTTGTACCTTCCCACTTCATTATTCCAGGGCCGCTCGGCTGAGTACATCACCAACCGCCAGCAGAACGTGGCTGACTGCATGGCTCTGCTGCCACGCCTCGCCACAGGGATTGATGTCAACGTGCGGTTCACAGGGTGAGATGAGGTTTTTAGTGTGGTGCAGTGCGGTAAGTGCTTCACAGGTACGGGGTCATTAAGAGCTGAACTTGGCGGATTGCATGGCTCTGCTGCCGCGTCTGGCCACATGAATTGATGTCAACGTGCACTTCACAGGGTGAGGTAGGGTGCGGTGCGGTTCAGGGGACTGATATTGCGATTTACAGGGATTTAGTGCGGTTCACAGAAGTTTGGTGCTTCTTATAGGTCGGGGTATGTAGCTTGCAGGCCGGGGAGGTGACGGGGGCCATGAGGTGACGGGGGATATGAGGTGGCGGGGGATATGAGGTGGCGGGGGATATGAGGTGGCGGGGGATATGAGGTGGCGGGGGATATGAGGTGACCTGCTGGAAGTCAGCCTTGCCCGCACACACTTCTCCCCTGTGCCCCCTCTTCCCCCCCCTTGGATGCCATTCCAGCATCCACGCGTTTGAGTTCACTCCAGAGACGGCCATTTTCGACCTGCTGGATATCAGCCTCGTGCATGGATGGCTGGTGGACTCGCAGGTGCGTGGTGGGTAGCTGGTACAGCGTGGTATGGTGTAGTATGGCGTGGTATGGCATGTTATGGTGTGGTATGGCATGTTATGGCTTGGTATGGCGTGGTATGGCGTGTTATGGCGTGGTATGGCGTGGTATGGCGTGTTATGGCGTGTTATGGCGTGGTATGGCGTGTTATGGCGTGATATGGCGTGGTATGGCGTGGTATGGCGTGGTATGGTGTGTTATGGCGTGGTATGGCGTGGTATGGCGTGGTATGGCGTGTTATGGCGTGCTATGGCGTGGTATGGCGTGTTATGGCGTGGTATGGCGTGGTATGGCGTGTTATGGCGTGGTATGGCGTGGTATGGCGTGTTATGGCGTGTAATGGCGTGGTATGGCGTGGTATGGCGTGGTATGGCGTGTTATGGCGTGGTATGGCGTGGTATGGCGTGTTATGGCGTGGTATGGCGTGTTATGGCGTGCTATGGCGTGGTATGGCGTGGTATGGCGTGTTATGGCGTGGTATGGCGTGTTATGGCGTGTTATGGCGTGCTATGGCGTGCTATGGCGTGTTATGGCGTGTTATGGCGTGGTATGGCGTGTTATGGCGTGTTATGGCGTGGTATGGCGTGGTATGGCGTGGTATGGCGTGTTATGGCGTGTTATGGTGTGGTATGGCGTGTTATGGCGTGTTATGGCGTGGTATGGCGTGGTATGGCGTGGTATGGCGTGGTATGGCGTGTTATGGCGTGGTATGGCGTGTTATGGCGTGCTATGGCGTGGTATGGCGTGTTATGGCGTGTTATGGCGTGGTATGGCGTGTTATGGCGTGTTATGGCGTGGTATGGCGTGGTATGGCGTGTTATGGCGTGTTATGGCGTGTTATGGCGTGTTATAGCGTGTTATGGCGTGTTGTGGCGTGTTATGGCGTGTTATGGCGTGTTATGGCGTGGTATGGCGTGGTATGGCGTGTTATGGCGTGTTATGGCGTGGTATGGCGTGGTATGGCGTGGTATGGCGTGTTATGGCGTGGTATGGCGTGTTATGGCGTTGCAGGTTGTAGTCTTGGACCTGCTGGACATCAGCCTCGTGCACAGGTGGCTGGTGGACTCGCAGGTATGTGCTTCATGTATCACTATAGGCGAGTGCGTGCATGGAGTGGTATGGGAAGGAGGGCACCATCTCTGGTCTCCCAGATATAAGCCTCGTGCATGGGTGGCTTGTGGACTCGCAGGTATGGGAAGGGTGGTTCGCATGGCATGGCATGGCATGGCATGGCATGGCGTGGCATGGCATGGGATGGTCTGGTGCCATCTGCTGGGTATGAGCCTCGTGCAAGGCATGCCTTGAAACGAGGGTGGCACTCCACAATGCACGAGGCATGCTCTATCCCGAAATCCCGAACCCCATGTTGCAGGATTCAGCCACAGCAGCAGCAGCGGTAGGTTCTCTCTCCTACAACAGCATTGTGGCGCGCCTTGTAGCCCTGCAGGCCTCTCATGCTTACCTCTTTCTGCTTCCCTATGACCCTATTCCCTTCCCCTTCCCTGTGACCCTATTCCCTAACCCTGAACTGAATGCCCTTGCGTGCCCCCAGGATTCAGCCACATCCAAAGCAGTGGGTGCTCTCTCCTACAACAGCATTGTGGAGCGCCTTGTGGCCCTGCAGGCCTCCCACCCCGACCTTGCTGCTGCGCTCCTGGGAGGGGGAGGGGGAGGGGGAGGTGGCGGAGGGGGGAATGGAGAAAGTGGGGGAGGAGAGGGAGGGGAGGAGTCAGGGGAAGGAAGGGCAGGCGGTGCAGAAGCTGATATGAAAGAAGCAGAAGGGGCCAGGAGAGAGGGGAAAGGGGGCGCAGGTTTGGGCGGTGAATCCGAGCACGTGACAGCAGAAGCTCTGGCTGATTCCATTGCCGCTCTGCTGCTCGCCGAACCTCTTCCACTTTCTAAACCTGTAGAGGCTTCTGAACCTCTGCCATCATCCAAGCCTGTACCAGCCACCAAACCTGCAGTAGCACCCGAAGCTCTACTAGCATCCGAGCCTCTTCCAGCTTCGGCAGGTGCAGGAGAGAAGAGGGCGGGGAGTGGGGATGAGGGTAGGGAGGGGCACAGGGAGGAGGGTATGCAGGGGTGCAAGGAGGGAGGGGAAGAAGGGAGGCTGGAGAGCAGAGAAGGGTTGGAGAGGAGTGGGGAGGCCAGCGAGGGGCATATAGACGGGAGAGAAAGGGATGGAGCAGGGGAGAGATCACTGGGCGCGGAGGGTACAGCAGCCCAGGAGGAGCAGTCAGGGGCGCTGGGTGCTAGGGACGCTGGGGGTGCAGCAGAGGCAGAGGGAGGGTGTGGGAGAGGAAGTGATTGTGGGGCGAGAGAGGGCAGCGGAACGGGTGCAGCAGAAGCAACAGCAGGGACAGCAGGAGGAGCAGGAGGAGCAGGAGGAGCAGGAGGAGCAGGAGGGGCAGGAGGGGCAGGAGGGGAAGGAGGGGGAGGAGGAAGAGGAGACAAAGTGGTGGAAGCTCAACCGATAGAGTCTCAAGGGGAGATGCGAGACGATGTGAGGGAAGGTGAGGGACGATGTCTGGGTTCGAGGTATAGGGTCTAGGGGTGTGGGATGTGTGAGGGCGACGGGTGAACGGACACACTTTGGGAATGTGCTTGTACGAGAGCAGTGAGGCTGATAAGGCTGAAATGCAGTGGCTTTAAGCCAGCGATGCCTGCCTCGGAATTGAGTCAAGACCTAAAACACGTGGCTTTGGGTTTTGGCCAGTGGAGCCACGTACCTGTTTGGCTGGAGAGACAGGCACGAGCCTTGGTCGATCGCCTGGGCTTTACAACCTGATACTTTTCTTCGTCCTCTGTTCCCGTGGACCCTTCGCTACTACCTCTCTCATGCCCACCCTTCCAAACCCATCCTACACCCCTCTCTATCTTCCCCCCCGTCCCCCCCCCCTCCTCCTCTTTCTCCTCGTCTCTCACTGTATCTCTACTCCCTCCTCCTGGCCACACCCCCCACCCCACCCCTTGAGCTCTGCTCCTACACCCCCACCCCACCCCATCCTACACCCCTCTCTATCTTCCCCCTCGTCACCCCACCCCACCCCATCAGCTCTGCTCCTATTTACATTCCTCAACGACACAGCCAGCCAGCTTACCTACCATGGGTGCGATTTCCTTCCCTCCACTCAAACATTCTCTCTAAACCTCAGGAAGGGCTGTTCGAATCCTCTGCTTACGAGTTCGAATCCTCTGCTTACGAGTTTGAATCCTCTGCTTACGACCCGTCTCCTCTGCTTTGTCTCCGTCATCTCTTCTGCTTTCTGAAGCCCATCGCTCTTGCCTTCGCCAGTCTCTTCAGTGCGCGTCAAGGGCAATCAGCTCTCTGTGTGTTCTTGCACATGTTCTCCTTGTTTCACCATGCCCCTCTGCCCCACTGGCCCTACAACCCCCTCTCTCCCACTTTTCCAGTCTCTTTAGCCTACAGGAGGGTGTGAAGGACAATCAGTTCTGCGTGTTTTTTCGCAACAACCACTTCAGCACTCTCTTCAAGGTGCCTCCCCCCCCCCCACACTCCTTGTTTCATGATACGCCCTTTCTTTATCGTCCCCCCCCACACCCCCTGCACTTTCTTCAAGGTGATACGCCCTTTCTTTATCGTTTCTTCTAAGAATCCCTCCACTCTTGAAGGTGTCTTTTCAACTCGCCTCCTACGTTTCACGTACCTCCCTTGTCGCCCTTCTTAGTGTGTTCTTAGTGTGTTCTCAGTGTGTTCTTAGTGTTCCACAACAGCCACCTTCACTCCGCTCCACCCGTTCACTTCACTCCGCCCTTCTCTTTTCTTCTCTTCTCTTCTAAGCTATTTTCTTCCAGTCTCTTCTCTTCTCTTTGTAAGAAATAGAGTTGAAATCATTAATTAGGTAAGGAGCCCAAGGCTTTATAAGTACATGGCAAGGTGAGAGAGAATGGATGAAGGGGGGAATCGGAGGGAATCCCCGTTGGGATCTCCGGTGTCACAGGATCGAATGTCCCGAGGAAAGGTTTGCTCAATGTTGCACTATCAATCAGTACAAGGTGCTTTTATACTTCCATAATACATCAGGTAACCAGGCTTATCCTATCCAAAGGGAATAGACCCTTCTAGAAATAGAATCACCATGCGTATAGCCACGCGAGGCTATTGGCTTTAAGGGATTACTGCAGGATTACGCTAGATATAGCGCGCCAGTACATCCCGAGCCTGGTCGGTGATATAATTATAATAACAGGATAAACCAAAGGATAATGGAAAAAGAGGAATAAGAAACCAAATGAGATGGGGTAAAGATCAAATGAATCAGGATAAAAAGAGGAATGAAATAGAAAGGAAATATGGAAGGGGAAATTGGTGTAACGGGGTCGTACTCTCACATCCGGAATCTCCAATTGGGTAATTGGAGATTGGAAGGATCACAATTGGGTGAGGTTGGGATTTGTGAGTACACCCCAATCCATCAAAACATTCATAACCTAAACTATGATATAACAGTACAAATACAAAAGTGAGATTTGCAGTCTATTTCTAATACACCCCCATAGACTGCAAACCCGGTCAAGGAGCACATAGCTCCATGGAACGAAGAAGGCGATGGTGGTCAGCCTTGCCGAGAGCCTTGGTAAAGAGGTCGGCGAGGTTGCAATCTGAGGCGATGTACCGTACCGTCAGCTGGTCACTCTGAACAAGATCTCGGATGAAGAAATGAAGAAGTTCAATGTGCTTGGTGCGAGAGTGGAACACAGGATCCTTGGTGAGGTGAATGGTGCTCTGGTTGTCACACCATAGGGTGGGTGACTGCTGGGGGTAGCCTAACTCAGCGAGGAGAAAGGAGAGACAGCGTGCCTCTTGAGCAGTCATTGTGCCTGCGTAGAGCTCGGCCTCGTAGGACGACAGGGAGACTGCAGAGGACCGAGTGGAACGCCAGCTGATGACTCTGCTACCAAGGGTGAAGCAGTACCCTTGGGAGGAGCGTCTGTCAGTCTGGTCATCGGCCCATGAGGAGTCTGTGTATCCCTCGAGCTTGACTGGAGAGGTACCACCGAGAGTGAGGATGTAAAACTTGGTGGCTTGTAGATAGCGAAGGACCCTCTTGGCTGCAGACCAATGCGAGGCAATGTAGCGTCCGGGGGGGACGTACCGAGAGAGAACACTAACCGGGTAAGCCAAGTCTGGTCGAGTGCACATCATGGCATACATGAGTGAACCGACTAGCTCAGGGTACGGGTCTTAGCAGGTGTCAAGAGAAGAACCGGAGGGGCCGTGAGCTGATGCTGTAGTGGGGGAGGAGTCGAGACAGAGTTACTGGAGTCCATGTCGAACCGCTTGAGAAGGTTGTCGATGTAGGACTCCTGGGAGAGGGTGATTGAGCAAGCCTGGCGGTCGCGAGTGATCTCCATCCCCAGGTAGTTCTTGAGGTCAACAAGATCCTTCATGAGAAGGGCGGAGCTCAGAGCAGACTAGACAGCTGTCATCTCGGCTGGATCTCTGGCGACTAAAATGAAGTCGTTAACGTAGACGAGGATGTAGAAATGCTCAGAGGAGTGACGAATGAAGAGACCGGAATTTGAGGCAAAATGATGGAAGTCAAGTGCGAGGAGGACTTCCTTCACCTTGTTGTGCCACTCATGAGGAGCCAGCTTGAGGCCATACACTGGGCGCTTCAGCTTCCACACTGTGTTGGCAGGGTAAGTGCCAGGAAACCCCGGTGGGCGTTCCATGTGAACATCCTCCTTGAGCTGGCCTTGGAGAAAGGTGGAGGAGGCGTCCATGGACTTGGAGCGGCTATATCAAGAAGAGCGCGCACAGTCGGGAGCTTGGTCGTGGGCGAGAATTTTTCGAAGAAGTCGAGATACTCCTTCTGGGTGAAACCTTTTACCACGTATCATGTGGGGGCTGAGCAACACATATGCGGTACACCCCCAGGCGCGTAGAGAGCGGGCAGAGGACGTGGCCCCAAGCCAGAGAGTGGTAGGTGTGGTGTCGGGCCGGTGGGGATGCGGATAAAGATTATAGAGGAGTGCCGCATGGAAGAGGGCATATCCCTAGAGTGAGCGTGGTGCGTTAGCGTGATTGAGGAGGCAGCGAGCAATCTGAACCAAGGTGTGGTTGCGGCTCTCTGCAATGCCGTTCTGCTGCGGGCTTTCAGGGAGCGTGAAGGTTTGCCGAATCCCTTGGGCCGCACAGAAGTTATCAAGTTTGCCATTTTGAAATTCTCCCCCGCCATCAAAATGGAGGCACTTCAGAGGAGTGCCGAACGTGACTTGAGCCTGGCGCACCCACGCCATGACGACATCAGGTGCCTCTGCCTTGGTATGCAGGAGGTGCACAGAAACATACCGCGAGTGGTCATCGACTAGTGTAAGAAAGTACTGATGCCCGCCTCGGGATGCGACTGGAGCTGGGCCCCAGACATCCATGTGCACTAGGTCCAGCGGAGCAACTGCGACGGATGGGGAGGAAGGGTGCGGCTGCTGCCTGAGCTTGCTTTTGGTGCAGTCCAGGCAGGTGGGTGCAGGTGAGTCTGTTGGTGGAGGAAGCGCCGACGGGAAGCGAAGAAGAAGTTTCTTGGAAGCGATGTCGACAAGTGTACGAAAGTTGGGGTGACCCAAGCGATGGTGGTAGAGGATGGTTGGGTTGGCGAAGCTGCGACAGGAACACGGAGTGGTGCTAGCAGCTTGCGTTTGGGAGAGGGCGGCGAGAGGTGCAGGTGAACGCAGCATGTAGAGCTTGCTGCTGTTGAGTGTGAAGCGTGCTAGGAGCTTGTTGGACTTAGGCTCGAGGAGGTCACAGTGATTCGAGAATGCTGGGAAGATCGTGGTGACGCCTGCCCGTTGGAGCCCGTGTTGGGCCACGAGATTGTGGCGTAGTGTGGGAACACACATGCCAGTCACACTGCCCGAAAGGAAAGCTGGGCACGGAACTATGGAGGAGCCCTTGGCGTGTGTTGTGAAACTGGAGTCTGCTCCTGGTAGACGGATTGGTGTCTCGTATGGCTTGAAGGAGTGTTCTTCCTTGAGAACTGTGTGAGTGGCCCCACTGTCGAGGGTGAACTCTATTGTGGCTGAGGTGCTTTGTGAGCCGGGACACTGCGAAATTGTCTCATTAATTATGGCAGTGCCAGGGAACAACATGTTCAGGCGCACATCAGCAGGTGCAGCCACAGCAGCCTGCACAGATTCCTGCGCTTCAACTTGATTGACTTGGCGAGGAGCACGATTGACCATCCAGCTTGGCGGCTTGGAGGCGGTCCCATTGACGGCATACCACTCGTCATTCTTTTTCTTAAAGCAGGAGGCAAGGCCGTGGTTGGTGCCGCCACACACCTGGCTGGCACGAGGGCCGCGCTTGATGACGTAGGGACACGGAGGGAAGCGGTTGCGCTGGAATGGTGCCGAAGCGGCATAGGCTTGAGGCACGGGAGCGCGGATTGCATTGGCCTTGGCTTGAGCGTTGTTGTCATTTTCGGCAGAAAGGAGCGCGGATGAGACCTTGGCAAATGTGAGGTCCGCAGGAGCAAGGCCCAAGAGCATCTTGCTTGTGACTTCGTATGCCGGAGTGAGGCCGACTAGGAGAGCGGCTGCAGGGGCTTGCTCGGGGAAGTCTATCCCCAAGTGTTTGAGTTCACCATGAATGGACAGCACCTTGGTGACATAGTCCGCCATGCCTTGTGAGTCCTCGAGCCGCACTTGGAACATGATGGGGATGAGTATAGCAACTCCCACTGCAGTCTTGTTCAGGAAGCGGTCTTCGAGGTAGAGCCAAATGGCTTTGGCAGACGGGTAGTTGTGGTAGATTTCGACGAGTTCGGGAGGAGTGGTGCCCATGAAGACACTAATGACCGCACCATCGGCCTTCTCCCAATTCTTGTACTTGAGCAGTGCAGCTGCATAAACTGCTTCGGCGGCGGCATTAGCTGGATCGATGGACCTCTCGGGTTTAGGAGGCTCTTTGCCGTCACCGATGTTGAGAAGGACGTCGGTGAGCTCGAGCCCCTTCACCTCGCGACTGAAGAGGTGCTTGTCGACACCATAGCGCCAAGCCTTGTAGTTGGAGCATGTACCGTCCGGCTCGAGACGAAGGAGCGGGATCGGGTTGGCGAGTGAAGTGGTTGAGTAAGCCATTGCTGCTTGATTTTCGCGAAGCGACGCTCTTAAGTCACCGATTTGAACTTCGGTGTGCAGCGCGGCACTTCTGGAAATCGGTCGACGAGAATTGTTGAAAATCACTCTGACGGCTTCATCGAAATGCCGCTAAGAAGGAAATGGCGTCGGCAAAATTTCGTTAAAACGCCGACTTGAAACTGAATCTGAGACTATGTTTAACCCCGGACCCACACACCCCCCCACACACCCCCAGGCCCTGTCCCGCAGCTACACAGCTCCGCAACCAACTCCGCTCCGCTTCCACCTGTGTACCTGCTTTTGCTTGACGCGATACATTCGTGGAGGCAATTTCGCGATGGGAGTTCGCCTATTCTGGTGGGATCTGAGGGGAAACTCGAGAACGAGGTCTAAGAGATGGTCGAAATTGAGATTCGACCAAGGAGAACCGAGGAGGAAATCGATGATAAGAAGCGTGAAAGCTTCAGAGATGAGAATTTCAACGAGGTCGAGCACGAAGGCGGTCGACGATGAGCGGCGCGACTGCAGAGTGGAGCACGTCGAAATTCCAACGACTCTAAACGAATGTCGCGACGATGAAATGCGCGTAGCGCGGGCGCGTTAAGATTAGGACCTTAATCCGCGTGTGCAGATAGGTCGCTCTGATACCATGTAAGAAATAGAGTTGAAATCATTAATTAGGTAAGGAGCCCAAGGCTCTATAAAGACATGGCAAAGTGAGAGAATGGATGAAGGAGGAATCGGAAGGAATCCCCATTGGGATCTCCGGAATCTCCAATTGGGTAATTGGAGATTGGGGGGATCACAATTGGGTGAGGTTGGGATTTGTGAGCACATCCCAACCCACCAGAACATTCATAACCTAAACTAGGATATAACAGTACAAATACAGAAGTGGGATTTGCAGTCTATTTCTAACACCCTTCTCTTCTCTTCTCTTCTAGTCTCTTCTCTTCTCTTCTCTTCTCTTCTCTTCTAATCTCTTCTAATCTCTTCTCTTTTCTTCTAATATCTTCTCTTCTCTTCTCTTCAAAACCCGTCTCTTCTTTTCTCTTCTCTTCTAATCTCTTCTCTTCTTCTCTTCTCTTCTCTTCTCTTCTCTTCTCTTCTCTTCTCTTCTCTTCCCTTCTCTCCTCTTCTCTTCTCTTCTCTTCTCTTCCCTTCTCTCCTCTTCTCTTCTCTTCACCGCCGCTGTGGGAGAGGCCGAGCGAGGTGCAGTGGAGTGGGTAGCCAGCTGCTTTCCACCCTGTTCCCGCCCCTCCCTACCGCAGCGTACCAAGCCCACTTCACTGCATTCCCCCCTCTCTCTGTCATCCACTTCCCCTTGTTCTACCCCAGCGCTCGCACCAGATCTACTAGTGACCGACCAAGGTTACCCGAACCAACTGGGCATTGTCTTGGAGCGACTGAGCGAGGTGCAGGGCGACAACCAGCTGTGCGAAGCCCACTTCACTCCATTTTCCCCACTCTCTCTCTGCCATCCCCTTCCCCTTGTTCTACCCCAGCGCTCGTACCAGATCTTTTTGCTAGTGACCGACCAAGGCTACCTGAACCAACCTGGGACTGTCTGGGAGCGGCTGAGCGAGGTTGAGGCGACAACTAGCTGTGCCAAGCCCACCTCACTCCCTTCTCCCCCCCCCCACCCTTTCCGCCCTGCTCCCCCCTCCACCCACCCACAGCGCACCAGCCAGATCTACCTCCTGGTGACGGACCAGGGCTACTTGAACCAACCGGGCATTGTGTGGGAGCGGCTGAGCGAGGTGGAGGGCGACAACCAGCTGTGCGAAGCGGACTTCAGTCCCTTCGCTCCTCCCCCGTCACTGGCGCTGTCGCAATCGGGTGCTGCTGCTGGGCAGTGGACGCACGAGGATGATGCTGCCATCGCTGCGGCTGCTGCTGCTGTGAGTGATGGTGCATGCAGAGTGAAATAGTGTCTTACAGGGGTGCTGCTGGGCAGTGGACGCACGAGGATGATGCCGCAATCGCTGCTGCTGCTGCTGCTGTGAGTGTACCTTAGGCATATCTTGAGCACCTCGGAATCACTCCCCCGTCGCTCGCTCTGTTACAATCGGGTGCTGCTGCTGGGCAGCGGACGCATGAGGATGACGCTGCCATCGCTGCAGCCGCTGCTGCTGTGAGTGTGTGTATGACACGGGCCTTATCCTCAAGATTTGCCTTCGGCACCTGCCGCTGAGCACCTGCCACTGCTGCTGCTGATTCTCCTGCTCCTCACCTTTTCGCTCATGTCTCCTCCTGCCTGTGTGTGCCTAACACAATGACTTTTGAGTCCGACTCAAGAGTCTTCTCCTGCTCCCCACCTTTTCGCTCATGTCTCCTCCTGCCTGTGTGTGCCTAACACAATGACTTTTGAGTCCAACTCAAGAGTCTTCTCCTGCTCCCCACCTTTTCACTCATGTCTCCTCCTGCCTGTGTGTGCCTAACACAATGACTTTTGAGTCCAACTCAAGAGTCTTCTCCTGCTCCCCACCTTTTCGCTCATGTCTCCTCCTGCCTGCCTGTGCCTAACCCCCCCCACCCCTCTCCTCCCTTCCTTGTACTCGCCTTGCCCTCCCCCACCATCAGGGCATTGAGGGACTGGAGCTCGTGCCAGGCATGGATGCATACCAGTACGTTCCACGCAAGGTGACTTCTGCGTCGATTGGAAAGTCTCCCCCCTTCCTTCTACTCCCATTGCACTCCCCCTCCCCCACCATCAGGGCATTGAGGGACTGGAGCTCGTGCCAGGCATGGATGCATACCAGTAAGTCACTCTGCTCCCCGTCATTTTTTAGAATTCTCAAAAACTTCCCGTCATCGAGGAACTGAAGCTAGCACACAAGAGTGCCGACTATGCTTCCGCGGGCCACCATGTTTCCCCGTCTCCTTCCCTGCTCACTACCCCCACTCATTACCCCCACTCAATGTCCTGCCGTCCTGCCGTCCTGCCGTCCTGCCGTCCTGCCATCCTGCTGTCTTGATTCTGAAGAGCAACCCCGCTTACCCACCTCTGTCCCTCCATTTATTCCAACAGCTTTCTTCCTCGCCTCCTCCACCCCCCCACCAGTATTGCCCTCTTCCTACCCTGCTGTTCCCCCTATCACCAGTTCCGACCTGCAGCTCGCTCTAACCCTGCAGGAGAAGGAGGTGGAAGCAGCAGAGAGGCAGCAAGGAGGGGGGAAGATGCTAGTATGCAGAACTGTCAAACTGCGAACTTCCTTCCCGCTTCCCTCCCCCCCCCCCCTTTCACCAGTTCCGACCTGCAGCTCGCTCTAGCCCTGCAGCAGCAGGAGGTGGAAGCAGCAGAGAGGCAGCAGGGAGCGGGGAGGGGGAGGGGTGGAGGCAGGGGGGGGAGAACAGGGGGAGCGGGGCAGGTGGGAGGAAACGGGGGAGGGGCGTGGGGGAGAGGGGGAGGGGGAGAGGCGTGGGGGCGGGAGGGGGCAGTGGGGGCGGCATCGGGACCAAAAGATGTCTCCCAGTTAGGGAGGAGGGGGAGGGGGCAGGGGAGGGGAGAGGGACGTGGGGTATCAGGGTTGAGGAGCGAAGGAGGGGGTGGTGGTGGGAGGGAGAGCAGCGGGTGGGGCAGCACGTGGGAAGCGGTTACAGGGCTCATCTTTGTAAGTCACTTGAAAATCGACTGCTTTTATAAGGTCAAATAAAGTGGTGCTGTCTGCAGGGGAAGCGGCTACAGGGCTCGTCTTCGTAAGTCATTTTGGAAATACTGCCTGTGGGGTCGTGTGTGCCTCTACGGCTTATCTGTTCTTCTCTCACGCATTTCCTCTTTCCTCGCTCTGCCTCATTCTTGTCTCTTCGCATTATTCTGTCGCTGACTTTTGAGTCGACTCAAAAGTCACCTCTTTGCATGAATCCGTCGTTTCACCCTTCCCCCATCGTCTTTTCCTCCTCATGTTTCCATTCCGCCACTATACCTCTCCCCTCTTTTTGAGGAGCCAAAAAAATAGTCACGTTTCCACTGCTGTATCCCTCCCCTCCACTCTCTAATCGTCTCCTTGTTCTCCCACCGTTACCCTGTTTCCACTCTCCCTCCGTTACCCTGTTTCCTCCCCGCGCTCTTCTCAAATTCCATCTCACAACCAAGCAGGGCGGCAGTCAGCCAAGGTCGCCTGCTCGACCCTCTGCCACTCGCATGGCTTCACAGCACTCCTCCCAGCACCCCCACTCCCCTCAGCCACAGCACCCCCGCTCGTCCCAGTCTGCCTCATCCCCGCCGCTGCAGTCTGCCTCTCCTGGCCGAGCCAACCAGGGCAGGGGGCAGCAGCGCAGAGGAGGGGCGGCACAGAGCGAGTGCTCTCTCATGTGACTCACGTGGTTCGGTACATGTGAGCTTCACTAGTGAGGGAATGGGGGGGGTAAGGCAGGAGCGCAGGGGGGGAGGGAGCCGCGCAGAGCGACTGAGCTTCACATGTGAGGGATTGCGGGCAGGGGCCAGCAGCCCGGGGGGGGGGGGGGTGGGGTGGGGGGGGTGGAGGAGGGGGGGGGGCTCTCAGAGCGAGTGCTCTCTCATGTGACTCAAGATGCTGCCTCGTGTTGCCGGTCCTACAAGCATCAGAGTGACTGCTGTGCAGGGGAGGGGCGGCATAGAGTGACTGCTTGCTTCTCATGCGATTCACTTTTGCCATTGTAATTTCACTTCCTTCATTTCACTTCAAGTAATTTCACATTAATTTCACTTGTGGTAATTCCACTTATAGTAATCTCACTAGTAATTTCAGTTCCAAGTAACTTCACTTGGAATGAGCCATGCAATGAGCCAGAGTGTGGGACTAGCTGAAATGGCGTGGCGATCAGTTCTGGATGGAAGCTTCCCTTCCCGAATCTATGGGAAGAACAGAACAGCCTTGCAAAGTGGAACTCTGCAAAAAGATGGTCAGAAAACATCGGGCTTACTGCTGCTGCCTTGTGCGTTTACCATCAGTGCATGCAAGGAATACAAGGGGTGACTGCAGACAAGGGCAGCAGTGCAGTGCAGAGCAAGGGCCACATAGAGTGATTGCTCAGTGCTCACTGGTGACTCTGCTCACAGGTTATGTGACTGCTGCCATCTCTGGCTGCCATTGCTTGAGACGGCTTTGAGGCGTCTAAATATACGTCCTTGAAGTTGCAAGATGAATCTGCTTCAAGATTGAGACGTCTAACTAGCGACGAAGAAACGAACGAGTGACTAAATCTGCTATCTACGAGAATCTTAAGTGGAACTCCAAGTCACGACCCCGTCAGCTTTGTATTGCGTCGACACGTTCTGCTGCTGCAACTTCTGCCTCGAAGGTGGACAATCTGTGAATTGCTATGACTTCTGCTATGTCCGACCTATCAACTTATGCATATGTCTTATGTAGAAGTTATAGGCTAGATAGGGTTATGTTCTTAGGGAATACTACCCCAACCATATATCTCCCTTGTTCTTGCTTGTTTCATTCATTCTAGTATTCTAGCATGGTATCATGAGTAGGTTAGGTCCGCCCACTCGCTTCCGCCCATCGCCCTAGCCTACCGCGCCTCGCCGGCCCCTAGCGTGCCCGCCGACCCCATGCGCCTCGCCGTCCCCACGCGCCTAGCCGGCCCCTCGTGCCTAGCTGGCCCCTAGCGCCTAGCTGGCTCCTTGCGCCTAGCCGGCCCCTCGCGTAGTCCGCCCGGCCCCTCATCGCCCGCCCTCGCCCTCGCGCACGCCCGCCTGGCCCCTCGTCGCCCGCCCTGCTCCTCGCGTAGCCTGCCCGGCCCCTCACGTAGCCCGCCCGGCCCCTCGCATAGCCCGCCCGGCCCCTCGCGCATGCCCACCCGGCCCCTCGCCCGGCCCCTCGTGTAGCCCGCCCAGCCCCTCGCGCGCGCCCGCCCAGCCCCTCGCGCACGCCCGCCCGGTCCCTCGTGCACCTCACCCGGCCCCTCGTGTAGCCCGCCCAGCCCCTCGCGCGCGTCTGCCCGGCCCCTCGCGTGCGCCCGCCCGGCCCCTCGTGCAGCCCGCCTGGCCCCTCACGTAGCCCGCCCGGCCCCTCTACGTACGCCCACCCGGCCCCTTGTGCCTCGCTGGCTCCTTACTGCCTAGCCAGCCCCTTAGCGCACCCACCGACCTCTCGTGTACCCGCCGGCCTCTAGTGCACCCGCCGGCCCCTCCTGTACCCGCCGGCCTCTAGTGCACCCGTCGGCCTCTAGTGTACCTGCCGGCCTGCCCTGCCCCTCGGGCTCTGTGCCCTCCACCCATTCTTCCCCTGAAGGGTTCTGCCGTCACGCCGCTGTACCACCATGCTGCTGAGCTCCTGTGCCACCGTGTCGCTGTGCTGCAGTGTAGCTGTGCAGCAGTGGAGCTCTGACCCTGAGACTGCACGATGGCGGACGCCCTCCTGCGCCTGGACGCCGAGGGGCACGCGATCGACTTCGCCACGTGGCTTGTCGATCTTCGCCGTCATCTGACAGGTCAGCGCCAGGATGGGTACTCCCTGGTTATGAATATTGATGGCGTGCTCCCCCGCCCCCCCGCGCCTGTGCCCCTTCCTGCTGATCTCTCCACTGCTGAGTGTGAGGCTTTCTCTGCTGCCACACTTGCCCGCACTGTCTGGGATTCCCGCGATGCTGTCGCACAGCTCGCCATTAGTCACACGCTTCCCCTGTCTGAGCGCCCGCGCTTTACTACTGTCGCTAACGCCAAAGATTTCCTATATGCTGCAGTTGCACACTACTCCACGCCCGCCTCTACCTCTCCTGGCCGCCTTATCCTCCCCATGCTTTTCCCCGACCTGGCCGCCTTTCCCACTGTTGCTGACCTTGCCACTCACCTCCGTGCCCTAGAGACTAGCTACTGCGCTGCTAGCACTGCCACCCAGCTTACTGCCTTCCCCCCACCACTCTACGCTACCCTGTACCTTATTGCCATGCGCCTGCATGACTGTTTAGCCACTGCTCGCAACGACTTCTTAGCCAGCACCCTGGTGACCTCACACAGCCCGCCTTTGTCACTACGTTGTCCGAGATAGAGACTCGCCAACGCACTATAGCTCAGTCAAGAGGTGTTACGGCGGTCCCTATCTTTCAGGGCTGTACTCCCTCCCAGTGTACGTACGCTAACGTTGCTGCCGCGGTCGCTATGGCTGTCCCCGCCGCTGAGACCGCTGCTGCAGTCTCCTCACAGCAGCGTCAGCGTTGGGGTCGTTGTGGCCCCAAGGGAGGCCGTGGTGGTGGAGCTGGGTGGTGGTAGTGGTGTTGGCAGCGACAGTGTTCCTGCTGAGGGGGTTGGGGCTGGTGCCCAGGAGCACCAGCAGCCACAGCAGCAGCCGCCGGCGCAGCCGCAGTAGCAGCAGCAACCGTGGGCCCACCTCCCGCGTGGGTGGCCAGGAGAGTCTGGCGGTGGTGGCCGTGGTGGCAGCTCTCGCAACTCGACGACTCCCAGCAGCTTTAGTACTGTGAGTTGTCAGTACCACCTTCAGACCAGGCCCCTGCGTGGCACTGTCTGCCGCCGCCCACACCCGACCGCCCGCTGCTTCCGCCACCTTTACGACCTCTTTTGTCACCGCTTCGGCCTGGCGCTGGACCTCCCCGACTGGGCCAGTCTGCTGCGTCACAATGTGCCTGTGTTTGAGTTAGATATGGATCAGCTTAGTTCTGCCTTGCACTCTTTGTATGCTGATGCTTCTAGTGTGTATGGACCTTATTACACAGTGTTCTCTAGCTTAGGCGTAGCACTTGTGTGTAGATCAGAATTCCCCTGCTGCATCAGGGGTAGGACCGTTTGCTTTGTCTAGTCTAGGCTCCAGCCTTGCTCCGCCCTCATCTGCCGCTACTGCCTCACAGTCCTTCACACTTGACTCTGGTGCGTCTGCCTGCTTCTTTCGCGACCACACTACGCACACGCCAATTGCCGCTCCTGCTGCCATCGCTCTTGCTGACCCCTCCTCTGGTCCTGTCGTTGCCCGTAGCTACACTACCCTTCCCTTTCCAGCGATCCCTTCAGGTTCCCTTATAGGCCTCCACATCCCTTCGTTCTCCAGGAACTTAGTTGGTGCTGGCTGTCTTCAGGACCTCGGCGGCACCACTACGTTTCCTGGTCACGAGCGGTTTGCTGTCTGTACCGAGACTGCCACAGGTACCCCCCTTGCGACGTTCCCTCGGGACCCAGTGTCTGGACTGTTCACGGTCGCTCACTCACCCGTCGCTCCTGTGGCACCACCGCCTGGGTCACCCCGCACTCTCGCATCTACATCACCATGTCTCAGCACGGTCTCGTTCTAGGTCTTCATGAGCCGCTTCCTGCCCTCCCTCCCTCGCTTGCGTCTCCGTGTACGCCCTGCGTTGAGGGCCGGCTACGCCATGCTCCTCACTCCTCCTCGCTTCGCCCTACCACCGCACCTCTTCAGACCCTCCACCTGGACGTTTGGGGCCTTGCCCCCGTCCCAGGACCGCGTCGCGAGCGCTACTTTCTGGTGCCCGTCGACGACTTCACGCGTTACACCACAGTGTTTCCCCTGGAACGGAAGGCCAACGTGCCTAACGTTCTTGTCCCGTGGGTCGTAGCTGCGCGCGTCCACCGTGGTCTCCCTGTGATGTGTCCCCACTCCAACCGTGGTGGCAAGTTTGCCTCCGGTCGGCTTGGACAGTTTTGTCGTGCGGAAGGCATCACCCAGTCGTACACCCTACCGGACTCCTCGTAGTACAATGGGGTCGCTGAGTGACGCATTGGCTTGGTCATGAAGGTGGCTCGTACCTCCATGATTCATGCCGGTGCACCCCATTTTCTGTGGCCGTTTGCTGTTCGTTACGCCGCTCACCAGCTTAACATGTAGCCGCGCTCCCTGCGGCCGCAGGTTTTGCCGACCCTCCTCTGGACCGGGTCCCCTGGTGACGCGTCTGCATTCCACGCCTGGGGCTGCCTCGCTCACGTTCGTGCCTCTGACATGGACAAGCTCACTGCCCGCACTGTCCCCTGTGTCTTCCTTGGTTTCCCCCTTGACTCGTCTGACTGACACTTTTACCACCCGCAGTCTCACCGCTTCCTTCACTCGCGTGACGTCACTTTCAATGAGTCTATCTCCTTCTACCACCACTTTCCCCACCGAGGTCTCTCGGTCTCCCCTCCCCTGCTTCTGGTTCCCAGTTCCCCAATAGCCCCTGCCCCCCTCCCCCCCCGTCCTGCTCGTTCTGGTGTGTCTCACATCACCCCCCTCCCATTGGTTATCCCTGCCGAGGAGTCTGCTGACTCTGGTGGCCCTGAGGCGCAGTTCTTGCCACCTGCCCCTCCCCCAGTGTCTCCTCCTCCGATGTCGCAGCCGCAGCAGCCGCAACCACCATTGCAGCAGTAGCAGCCGCAACCACCATTGCAGCAGCAGCAGCCATCGTCGCAGCCGCCGCCGCAGCAGCAGCAGCCGTCCGTGGACTCTGGGGGTGCTGGCGTTGAGGAGGGTGCTTGTCCTGGGGTTCCTGTCGTGACTTGTCCTGGCGTGCCTGGGGGTGGCACCGGTGCTGGAGAGGGTCCTGGTTGGGGGGGTGCTACTTCTGGGGGTGCTGGCAAGGAGTGTTATGGAGGTAGCCGTGGTGCAGCTGGCGGTTCCGGTGTCGGCGTCGCGCAGCGGCTGCAGCAATCGCCGCCGGTGTCCGCCCTTCTGCCTCCTCCCCTTCCTGTCTACAGTCTTGTTTTCCCTCCTTTGAACTCGTCTCCATCTCGTCTTCCCCTGCGTTCCCATCTTGTGTCCCCTCCTCTGTCTCCTGACCACACGCCTCCGTCCCACGTCTGGTCTCATCGTCCCT